ATCAAATATGAAAATTGCATAACAACCTGGTAATTTTTCATAATTATTGAACCAAAGGCACATATATATTTGGAAGGGAAATAGTGATATTTTTAGCCTATTCTTCAAATAATTTATTAATTTGAAAAAGAAGCTGAAAATTTATACATAATATAAAAAATGTAATAACATTAAAATTAATAGATTTGTTTCTAATTTAATATAATGTATGATAATGATAACGAAAAAATCTGTTATACAATTAAAAATATTTAATGATTTATTAGATTTTCATAATATTAACATATTTATATCAGTAAGTAGCGACATCTTCAATATTTCAGAACTTATAGGTTAATTGACAATATAGGTTAGGTATATCAAATGTTGTTGTAAACAGATCGGAGAATTTGCAATATGATCATATAGACTCATGATCACGTTTTGTCTCGTGATTTTTGACGCATTTAATTTTATATTTCAATGGCAGTTTTGCATCGTGCATTATTTACGTGGTTCAATCTTTTGATCTTTCTAATTCTACTTGTCTTAAGACTCGATCAGAGGATACAATGGAATTGGTTTATAGTTTTTATTCCAATGTGGTTATACGATCATATGCTTTTAGTTTATATTGTTTTTAATATGATTTCTCATTGTAAAAATGAACTTTTTCTTAATTTACGCCGGAAAGTAAGTTATACAATAAAGCATGAATTAAGAGAAAAGCAATGTATTATTTTCTGATACACTCAGTTTTATCAAACATTGTTGAAAATGTACTTAGTTCTATGTAAATTATAAATATTATTATTTAATTTGTTAATAAACAATTCAATTTATTAACAAACATAATTTATTTAAAAAAAGTTTATATTTTAATTTGTAATGTATTCTCTTAGTTATATAAGTAAATAAATGATAGTATTCATTTTTTATTATCCTAATATAAATTTTGTTTAAAAGAATGACATTTATATAATATTAAGCTATAAATTATAAATAAAATTTATTGAAAGTTTAAAGTGAAATTAGATTTGAAATACAAATTTTTCGTTGAAATTTTTGAAAGTTGTTTATAAAAACATAAATTTATTTAATGTACTATTTATTAAAATTCTTGTAATATATAATTTATTTATTTAATATATAAAATTAAACTTATGAAAGTAATATAGCATTTATTCTGATGAAACTGGGTATTCATTATTGGGTACTCAATTTTGGAAAAACTGAAATAGTTTCCTTTCAGACATGGTACATGACAGCCGTATGCATGAAGCTAAGCACCCAAATTTTAATATGTTTGAAATTAGAAGCACCTCATTGGTTTTTACCTGCAAAGGTGGTTTTGGCACCATTTTGGATTCTTCTTCCAGCATTGGCAGTTGATGTTTTTGTACATCTAATACATGCTTATCGGTATTAACAATGGTCAAACAATTGATTCAAAAATATTATATTAAGTGTATGGAATATTTACTACATTTTATATGAATATATTTTGTACAAATTAACTATATGAATTGTTATTGAACTATAATTGCTATTTATGTTACAAAAATTATGTTTATTAATAACAAAGATTTATGTTTTTCTTATATTTAAGAATAGTTTAATTTAATTTATTTATATAACATGGTACTCTATAAAAGCTGCTTAAAGAATAGTTATTTTATTTTGAGTTATGATTTATGCATATATATCATATAATAATTAATAGATATGATATTTCTAAATATTTTGTTGATATTAGGTTTTACTTTACATATCAATACATTTTTAATAGTTAAAACGACAAAATATATAGTGTACTTTTGGGTAGTATAGTAGTCACAAGATGCCAGTCTAGCTTACTATAAATACTCTATTGCACAAGGATGAATAGGACAAAGATATAAATAAGTAACTCTAGTGCAGCTTCATTACTGAAGCTTTTCTCATTAGTCCATAAAACTGTCATCACTTACAACAGTGATTGTAATACTTACTAGTACATTTATCACAATATAAAACAAATAACAGTGAAAGAATACAAAGAATTGATGCAGTTATCTTTACAGTTATGCAACATGGTTCACTGACAAGTGTCTTTTGCTTTCATTGTGTTTAGAATAATTATTCTAGCATCTGTCACATTTAAAGTCGCATACTATTGGAATTCTTACATTAGAAATGATCAGTGGAATTAGAATGTAATTATTGTATAATAGAACACAGTGTTAATAGTACCAAACATTCTGCTATTCTAGTTCATAGTGGAACAAGTTCTGTAATTGTTACATAGTATTCTTATATTTTTACTATGTTTTTTCATTTTTGTTAATTGAACATTCCTTTTATTTAAGTGTGAAAGTTATGAGTTTATAAAGAAAGCAATAACAATTTTATAGTGAGTTATTTATGAGTATATTACCTTGAATTTCAAAAAATGAACATGAGAAACATACAACAGGTAGAACAGTCAAATATGCTTTTTAATATGTTACATTATATATTTATATATAACATTTAAACAATTAACAATAAATTTAAATTTAGTATTTATTAATGATTAGATAAATGTGTATATTCTATTTTATTTTAATGATTTTTAATTTTATAATTTTATTTTACAGATGAATGTGATTTGTTTTATATTTCTATCTTTATTGTTATCATTGTTGAGAAATGGAGTGAATGGAGGCACTGTTACTGTAACAGAAGTTCCAGCTGGTCATTTAGCTGAGCTTCCATGTTTGAGTAGTGATGATCATCATCGTTTTATGTTTTGGCAACTTACTGATGATAATCGTATTATTGGGCCAGGGAATCCAATGGATGAAAACAAATACAATTATGAAGTGTTAACAGGAAAACTTTTTATAAGAGTAACTAATAAGTATAAATAATATGAAAATCTTTTTACAAGTTTTAGTCATTTTATTTTTAAGAAATAATATTTTCTATTAGGGAGTGTCAACAGCTGAATCTGGTTTTTATAAATGTGTTTCAAAAGGTATATCAGATCATTCTGCTATTAATATTCATGTTGTTGAATTAATAGTTAAAAAAGATTGGGAAGATGTTTGGGAAAACGATTTTGAGGTATATTAATATATTCCACTTTAATATGTATATCTTCATTATATATTTAAAATACATTTTTTGGTTGTAGACAAATTTATTACGGGGCATGGCTGCTGTTATGGTAATAGTTGTTGTTATAGCTATTGTTCTTTCTATTATTACGTCAAGAAGAAAACGTAATCACAGATTTTTTGGTAAATATCATGAATATTTAAATTTAATCAAAATGTAAGACAAAATATGTGTAATTACTTTAAATTACTATAGATTTAGAAGAATCAAGAGAAAATTCTCCTGCAAAATATACACCAGATGTTCATGCTGGTCCTGCAGTATCTACACCAACAATAGATGGTGGTATTGATGGTGGAATTGATAATTCAGCTCTTGATATAGATTTCCCAAGAGTATTTAAACAGATGCAGAAATAATAAACAGTTATGTAGCATCTTTAACCAAATTTTTTTATAGTAATTATAAAATATTGTATCTAAAAAGTACATACACAGGCACGCACGCATACTCTCATATTTGTTTATATATATATATATATATACAATGGCTAAACAATTTTGCCATGAAGACAAAATACATGATCATTACATAAGTGAAAAAAATAACTTTAATTAATATTTTATAGATAAGATGTACAATATATATATAAATAATGATTAAATTGTTTAATGAAATGGTCCGTTATTTTAATAAATATGAATATAAAATAACGATATTGTTTTAGTCTCTTTATAATCATTTGTGTTCTTATAAATATCTTTTCAGTTACGTTAATTTTAATTATTAAGCATATAAGTTTATTGGGAACTTGTAGGTATTCCATGAGTAGTATCTAACATACTATCATTAGTTCCATCTTCTTCATCATCTTCATCTTCCTCATCTTCGGGTTCTACTTCAGTTTCTAATAATCTTATTTTCCTATTACTTTCACTTAAAACAGCAGCTATTTTGCGTGCACCAGTGACTGCTATTCTTTTTGCAGATATACCTTGAAAAGGTCTTGGCCAACTATTACCTAAAAGATCTGTTAAACTAATTACATTTTTATCTTGGTTTTCAAAAATTCGAACGTAATTTAATGGTAACTGTACAAGATACGATGCATGTGTTTGTTTGTTATGTAACAATAAGCTGAGATATTCATTAGAGTAAAATTGTAGATCAACTACAGTACAATCCATGTAGGTTTTAGAACAGGATTCTGGAAAAAAAAAATGTTTAAAAAATCAAGTGATGATATGTATAAACAGTAACATAACATACCTGATCTATGATCTATATTTATGGTTCCCAATTTAAAACTAAGAGAAGTAGGTTCTGTACATAAACATTCAACTTTAAATAGTCGTAATATTTTATGGTCCATATCACATGTAGCTACTAACAATCCATCATCATTTGTTGCCATTTGAGACGAGGTAAACCCCATAGATGGGGCTAAAGCAATATTTGATATGGTAAAATGTTCAACTAACCCTTGATAAGCTTCACGAAAAACATTATGTACAGCAGTAATCAATTTTGTATGGGATTGTAATAAAGAATAATTTAAATCTTGTTTCACAATAAGTGGATGATCACGAAGACAATGATTTTCATCGAGCATAGCAGCCCACTCGCTACCTTCGGGCGTTAAGCAAGTTTGTAAATTTTCACGTCTTAAGTATTGACCTAATTTTTCTAAATTTACTCCTTTTCTTCCCCCAACGCCGGGTTCAGTTTTATCAAAACCACGCAAAAATTCAGCAATAAAAGTTAATTCTTGTTGACTGACACGGCTTACTTCAGATGGTATTCTTTCATCTGTTAGCCTTAAAATTACAACATACAACCACCTTAAATAAAAAATTAGAAGAATTAAAATAAGAAAAATGTTATTGATAATAATTCAAATTTTTAAAACATACCGGAAAAATGCTTTATAATCTCGCATGCTATGGTCTATTACTTGCTGAATTTCAGAAGATTTTGCTAAAAAAGCTTCTGATGCATGAAGAGCATTAGTTATAATATTTTCGTCAGTAAGTCCCAATAATTCATATGGACCACCCAATCTTACCATTCCTCTCATTTCCGCTAATTGATATACTAAAGCCATTCCAACACTAGTTAAATTTTTCAAGACTAATTTCTGCAAAATAATGATGGAATATTATGATATAAATAACTTTAAAAGAATTAGATTGTTTTGTATCACCTGTATATTACTATAGCACATCTCAATACTGTGCCCCAATTTCTTTAAACCCTTTTCAGTCAAATCACGCAACAAAAAATTTTCTAAATTTTGAGTGGGTATACCAATCATCAATAATTCTAGAAAATCTGCAGCAACTCCACCAGGTGGATTTGTTTCTGCATATCGTGCAAGCTTTTCATCCATTTCTAAGAGAATTGTTTCCCATGCTTCAGAGATTGCCATTAATGTACGTGAAAGATAATCCATTAGGTATTCAATATTAGCTTGAGCTTGTGCTACCTCAAATTTATATTAAAATGTTTTAGAAATTCAATATTATTCTAAGATAAAATTTTTAAATATATTAAGTAAAAAACCTTTAAGAATGCTGTGCTTTGTTCCAGTAATGGACACCATAATCTACTTGCTTTGATGCCACTATTATCTTTCCATGTGATCCACATTGATTTTCCAAATCCACCACTAATTTCTAATATTTGACCATGACCAACAGAAATTGTGCCACAATAGAACATTCCAAATACATACATTGCAACATTACCATCATCTAAACCAAGCTGCAAAAAATATAATCATCTATACATAGTCATACTGTTAATATCATAAAACATAAATGATATTTAAGCTTACAAAAAGTACATCTAAAGTTTGAGATAAAAATTCTTTGCGTTCTGGTTCTTGACCAAAACTTCTGTTTAAACTAGGTAAAGGTGGAAGATATTCTCCAGTTGGTAACATATTTGCTTTGTTACCATTCAGTAAATTATCATTTTCTAAATTTGTTAATGGTAACCACATCATGCATGTAATTGCATTGTGTAACATTAGTTTTGTTCTATGTATAATATTTTTATTTTCAATATCTACAAGACATATTAATTTAGAAGTTTCATAACAAATGGCTAGAAGTTTTCCATCTGGTCTCCATGCTAAATTTACTATAGTATCAGATTCTTCTTGAGGACTTAACAACCATACTCTTTGCCACGTTAATCTATGCAATGTAACTTCTCCTATAATAATTAGTTTAAATAAATTAACTTTGTTTATTATATTTATAAGTTTAAGTTCTAATATTTATCATAAATAAAACATTTTTAGTATACTGTTTAAATTATAGATAAATAATAAAAATTATGAAATATTATAAGAATTTAAACAATTGAAAACCTTTAATTTTATTTGTTAAGAAATCTAACCTTTGACATTTGCGATTGCTAAAAGATCCATTTTTGGGGACCACTGCATCTTTGTTACTTCAGCTGGGAGTTGTCGTTCTTCTAATTGCCTCATACTACCTGCCATTTTTGTAATATTGATCACAATTTAACTTGCAACAACATTCTATCGAATTATTGGGAAGGGCAATTTTAAGGTTATGTTCATCATCAGTGTATTTTGTTTATAAATACAGTATTGTATACATACTATACGAATATTCTTTCTTTGTTCAGATTCAAGAGGAAATGTTCAAACTAAATACACATGTATATATTTATATATCTATACATTGTGCATTTATAGAATCACTGACATTTGTCAAAAGATGAACTTTTATGTATATTTTTAGAATCTTTGCGTTTAGTGTACTTTAAAGAGAAAATTTAATTATAAATGAAATATAAACAAATGTAATAAAGTGATAAAAATTTTATGTAAAGTCATATAATTATATAATGCATTTTTTAATAATCGTTTTTAATGAAATCGAATTAAAATATTATTATTTCACTACTTCATAGAATACATTTTAAAAATTAGTTTCTCAAATTTATACATATTTTACTTTAAGATATTACAATCAGAATGCATTAACGTTTGACATTTGAAAAATTCACGAATGAACGTATCAGGAATGCGATGGTTAAATAAATTGTTCAATCCCTGCCAAAAACAATTCAGTGAATGTTGAAGGTGGAGATTTTAAATTAAAAATAAACACTGTTCCTGGCTTTTTAGCATGCGCACGAGTTACTAGACATTACAAAAATTTCGCGCCTAAACAAATTTTTAATACAAATATCATTTTAAGTTCCATGCGTCTGCAATAAACTGTTATGATACGTACGGCCGTACTAAATCTAACTGAGATGGGATACGTCTTCTCTTCAGGAATGAGGCCATTGAAGTTCAGATCATAATTGGAGCAGACCTTACTTCCACGCTATCAGATTTTAAGACAATTTTATATTTCAAAATTTAAGTTAATATTATAAAAATATATTACTATATTAAGAAATATATTTATTTCTTTAGGATATTGATTTTTATAAACGCACTTTATTTAATATTTGACAAAAGAATATTATAATAAAAAAGGCGATGAAAATTTCTGAATAAGTCTAAAAATAATGATCTATTGATCCTCGAGACCAAAAAACAATAACTTCCGGTTTTGGATATTTCAAGAACATTTTTTACGTTTACGTATAAACATCTGAATCGTGATCTGCAATTCTAAGTATTCACAATTTTGATGTTTAACAGTTACAGTGTTGAAATGCAACTGAACAGTGTAAAGTATGTTAAATGTTTCACTGCCAATTATTTGAAAAAAATATTTTTTTATTTACAAAAAGCGACACGGAAAAAAATAATAATAAATAATTTAATTTATAACAATTACAGGTTATGTATGTAATAAATACAGATGATAAACAATTTCTGGTTTCATGTAAAAAATAATCATACTGAAATCAATATTTATATTCCTCATACTTGTCAAGCAGAAGAATGGAATGCATAAACAAAGAACAGAAACAGGTGAAAATTAACATTCTATTTATTAAATAACATATTACGTTCTTGATATATATTTATTAAATACTATACTAAATACTCTACTTCCTTCATGTTCATAAAAATTCCATAGATTTAATAAGTATATAACATTAACAATTTTTAATATCCGCTAAAATATACCAAGAAAAAATAATTACAAAAAGATCTATCCAAAGGCGAATGAATCAAACAGCCCGTACAAAGATTCACCCAGTGAGCTCTTACACCTCACCTAAGAGCATTATAAAAATAAACAAAATTTCAACAAAAATCACGAACCGGGTAATTTATCCTTTCCATTTCAAAAGAAGTTCGCATCCGAGGAAATAATTGCATTGATTAAACCAGGCTCTCCACCCAAAGCTAAGAAAGTTTGATCGCGAATCGGTCACGAAGATCGGTTTGAGCGTTAATTAAAACTGGTTCACCCTAAAACCTCAATAGTCGCGTCGTCTGCATCTACGTGGTTCTCAACCATCGTCAGGAATGTATCCTCTCGGTTGATCCCATGGGACTCGATAGGAGGTCCTTCTGACTAACGTCGATCCATTCGTTGATTTATTTGTCGATCCTTTCGTCGATATCGAGAACGCGATTGGTAGAGTAGCGCCTCGTGGCGCGTTAGAACGCCAGACAAAGTCGATCGAAGGTGGTCGTGCGGCGAAGAACGTGCGCGGAGCAGGAGGGCGTTGAGGAACGCCACTGGCCACGTGACCCGCTAGCAGAATCCGCGGCGTCCGCCGAAAATCTAAATCCGTCCGAGCCGAGAAGAAGAGGCACCCGCCGCCGGCCTCCGGGGACTCGTCGCCCGAGACCGTAAACGCGATAGTCAATAATTGCCTTTAGGGTGCACCGGATCGGCGAGCGGCAGGAGATCGAGCGCGATCATCGTCCGCGTGTGCATCAACGACTCGTCGGAAAACGTAGCTCGTCTCCTCGGTGGCTTCGAACCAGGGGAGGGTAGCCAAGGCATTGGAAGAATGATACGCGTCGACGAGACTGACCCGGTGGGCGGTAAGGGAGCCCGAGCATTTCTCGATACACCAAACGGCGTGCCAAGCCTTGTGGAATGTTGATGATCGTGTCGAAGATGATCGTGTTTCGTGAATGATGAAAATGATTGTTGGGATATATGTAGACGAGATAAATGTAAGGCTTTTACAGTATGTCACATGGTGGACTACTGTTGAAGCTTTTGATATTGTCTTTGCAGAAGTATTTTAACGTTTCCCTCGAGAAATGGTGTATTTGAACAGTGGCAATAGGATAATTCCTATGCTGGTTGACGTTGATCGTTCGTTTGTATAAAGTAGAATAAAGAGTGTGACGATTTTATATAAAAGATATAGCTCTTATTGAATTTGATGGAGTTCTTCTTTTGAGTAGCTATACTCGTGGTGATATCATTCTTGCTCTGGTGGAGCGCATGGTGTAGAGTGTGTTTCGAGCGTGATTTTTCTTTAAATAAATGCAGTGATTCACTGGAATCTGAGACGACGATGAAGCGTCGTTGGTTGTTTACCGATTTCTTTGAACGATCGGTCTCGATGAACCTCGAAATCGTTTGAACTTGCGGATGTTTCTAACCAGCTGACTCGTACAAAAGGGTGAAATGAGGTCGCGGCCGGCGCGAAACGACGTGTTCATCACGTTGAGAAGACGCATTGTTCAAAGTGGAACAACAAATTTCGTGTCAGATTTTATGTAAATTATCGTTTACGTTGCTTACAATTTACCATTATCGTAAGATAGTATAAAAGATAACTTTCCTTTAAATCTTGGCTTAGAGTTCATTTGGAACACATGTATCTGTTTTCTATTAAAACTTTGATCGCTTTTGCGCCGAGAAATTGTAAACATCGTACATGTGTGCGACGACATATTGGATATTAAAGTCTGACTACGATTGAAACACAAAAATTGCTAAATTTATACACAAGACAATTCGATATATGTATACAATTTCCTGAATGTCAGAATTCATGAGTTGGCGAGGTTCCCTCGTAACCCAGGATCATCAAAAAATAGACGATTAGCGTGCTATTCTGTTTTCATTTTGAATAATGCGTGTTGCTTCGCGATCGTTTAGACGAATCAACGTTGTAAAAGAACGCGCCAGTCACCGGAACTGTTGTCGCTAGTAACGGAACTCGAGTCAAGTTTCAGCATGATCAGCTTCCGATTCGAGCGACAAAGCTTTCACACGAAATTCACTTGCCACGATTTATTTCTTTGTATTCGCTTCTGAATCTTCATTGGTTCTTGAATCGATACCTTCCCAACCTGGAATAAATAAAAAGCACTGTTTAAAATATTAACTTGATGTTACCTATACTTTCAATACAAAATTAATAGAATTAATACTAAATTTTCTTAATTCTCTTAAAATGTATCAATAATAATAAAATAAATATTAAATTATATCAATTTCACAAAAATATTAACAATAATAAAATTAATGTAGTAAGTATGTGTTAATGCAAATAATAGAAGAGTCCTTGAATCAGACATAACGCCATGATGAAATAAAGAGATATCCAGAATGGATGAATCATACCGTTAAAATCCGAGTGATTCATTTGTTCTTTTATAATTGATTAAACAAGTTATAATTTTGGAATTTCGCATGTTTTTCAGAAGTCGAGCCGAGTTTTCCCTATCGAGATGTGCTGGTACGTCGAGGTGTGGAATTCAAGGATCATTACGACATTCAATCGGAGATCGGACGGTGAGTGATCACATGGTGTATTTTTATTGTTGACAAACAAATATTCTGTGCCAAGGGCGTCGATCGAATCGTCGATTCGTAACGATAATTACAATGATACAATTTTCGATTGGCAAAGATTTTTGTCGTTCTCGCGTTTTACGCCGATTGGTCTAGACGTACGAAATTCGGTAGCTTTACAGAACTGACACTCGCCCCACACGAGGACGGGACGACGTTTATGCACACTGAAGCCTGATTATTGCAAATATCGCGGCGAGCCACAAGATTGGCCATGTTGTTTCTGAATTTGACACAATATGCGTGTTTGTATTGTGCAATGATGATACGAGCATTTCCGAAGCTCTATAATGCACGCTTCAGGTGGGGAGTAGTGTTCCGAGGAATGCGGAATTTTCGGTTGGGAAAGATGCAAGCTGGTTTACACGAATAAGTGAAATTATTAATCTGAGTTCAGATCACGTTATTATGCAAAATTATAGAAAATGTTTTGTTTATTAGAAAACACTCAGAAGAAACTTAGTTAGCAGAAACTTAGTTAGAAGAAACTTAATTATTAATTTGCTAATTAGATTGTGCTCCCATTATCTTTTTGAAGTTAATTTCTGAGATAGGAATTTTCGTTTGCATCTTTCTCCATGTACTTATTTATATCTACATTGATAAAATGTATTTTATTACTTACTATTTATTTGCTTAAGTCAGTTCTAGTTCTTGTAAGTATAAATATGGTGCAATGTATTTTCAATGCAATCGTAATGATGCATTCAAAAACAGGAAAGCCTTGGATAAATAAATTGTTGCAACGAGAATACTCGTATGCATGTCTTTTTAGTTGACAGATTAAATTATGCATTTTCTGCTATTATATATTATAATCCTCCGTCCACCTGAAAGTTTGTCTGTTTATAAAAGTCTTCAGATTTATGGATAAACAAAGACTGTATTAGTCTGTACCACTAGTGAATTTAAATACTTGTAATTTAACTGATGCGATCAGTTGAACAGGGTCTGGAAAAATAAGAAAAAAAGATTAGTTTTAAAGACGGTAGAATATCGAGAATATAGGTAATAAATTTTCCACCAACGGAGGTTGAAAAAGAGGAAAAGAGACCAAGAGAGAGGAAGGAAAAAGTTCGAAACCTTGACGTGTTTATTCCTTCCGGCGAACGTAGTATTCCTGTCTTGTATACATCGTAATCTTTCAGTTACTATGCGTGTTTGCCATTATGAATGAGTCTCGAACTTGAATGATCTTTACATGCATGTCTGCTGCTTCTACGAGCCAGTAAACTCATGAAATAAACTTGAAATGTTTGTTCTTCCGAGTTACGTTTTGCATTGCGAGCTACACGTTGCATTGTCGATGCTTTGGCATGAATCTTGTACAAACTATTGGTAAAGATTTTGTGATTGTGGCTGAAAGGAAATGATATTGAGGTAGAAGAATCATTTTGATATACGTACAGTGGTTCAAAGGGTAGATTTTTATTTTTAATCGGGACCGAATACCGAGACACAATAGCGATTGTGTATTGGTAACCACAGACGAAAGTATTGACGAATGGACCAGTGCCAAAGGTAAGATTTGAATGTCAATGACAAACTATTAGTGAACCATTAATTCTGAATGATCGTTCTCGATCAAATAATATCAAAAGATGTACACTTACATTGTGCTATTTAATGTTCAAGATTATTTTAATGATAGCAAAATTATTCATCACTTTTGCAGGATACTGTATTGGAATTTTATGTGTTCAAGTATTGATATTTTTATTCGAGATAATTAGATAATAGTTGATGAAATGTATCGTGAAACGATTTCAATGGCGCAACCAATATTGCAATGGGGAGTATGTATTTCTCTTTCAGAATAGTAAAAAATATCTATAGAAAATTTGTTTGTTGGTATCATGTATCATATGTTATATTATGTTAAGAATTCCAGGAAAAGATTTAAATTAATTTACCAATCTTTATGTACTTAAATTTTACATTAATTTTTCATTATTAGAAGACACTTAGTATACATGATTAATGAATAAACCCATTGATATATTATACTTCAACTTTTAAAAGAAACGCCTTGAAAAAATTAATAATTTCATTATTTAATTTCTATCATAAAATTCCAATAAAATATCTACGATCTCGAGTCATTGACCATTTTGCAACAAAATGATTTCATTCATGATATTACTTTGATATTTTTATCTTCAAATTCCAAGAAAATGTCTACAACCTCAAATCCTCTAATAACAAGTTTTACGGTCATAAATCATGTTTTTCGATTAACTGAAACTGTTTTCATCGTTTGCCAATCGCTACTGAATTGGACGTTTTCCATCGGCAGCGTAATATAGTATGCATCACTGCACCAAAACATGGCTACTCATGAAAAATACTTCTCCGATGGCCATCGAAATGAATCGAAGTGTGCTCTGTAGCTTGATAACGAAAATATGCAGAGAGTCAGCGTTGTACAAAGTTCAACGTGTAATCAAGGTCCTTGCACGTCTATAAATAATGCATTTTTTGCGGTGACTGACGTTCATGCGTCGAGTCGTCGAGCGTCGTTGGAGCGTCCAGCATCTCGACACTCTTGACACACGAATTCGGTCGAGTATCACATGCACTCTTGGTTGAATCATTCTTTGAGTTTGATATGAGTCTATAACCGTAAATCATTTCTTAGCTTGAGATTATAATGGTTAAATATTGTATAATTTTCATCCACGAAAGTATTTTTCCTTTTCTTAATATTGTGCTGTAATATAAAGTAATGTACATCTTAATTTGTCATTAATATGTTTTACAATTCAGTAGCAGTTAAAATAAATGTATACTTAAGATGTTCTGTAAGTTTTCATTTCACTTTTAAAACCAAAATTAATTTATTCTATAACACAAAATCCATAAATATCTTATTAAAAAATTAAAATAACAGTACTAAATAAAGTAAACATTGCTTCTATATTTCCATTTCGATGGGGTGCTCTTCTTTATCGATACAAGTCTGATATTGATGTAATGTTATAAATCGTTCGTTGTGTTTTTGTTTTATTTTCTTATATATAATATGAATTCTCTCAATTCATTTCGATTACATCATCAAACACGTCATACCGTTCCACCATTACGCACTCGAACTATTGCGTCATTAGAAACATAAACTTAACGAATCGCGCAGCGTCATCTGTACGAAACGGCGTGACTAAGGTCCGATACAAATGAGCGATGTCGTTGCGATTTCGTACCGACAACGCTGCGCGGTAGCAGCTTTATATTTCTAATTGCGGGATCGCACGCTTATGCGCATTGCATCAGTTGAAACATAAACCGATCGAGTCACATATCGTTATTGATGCGGAATCGGCTTAAAACTATGTCTACTTTAATTTAATTTGAATATTAAATTGAATAAACTAATTAAAAGGTGATGATGCAATTTATTCCATTTGTTACTCTTCTTAATTGTAAATTGAGAAAGTATGCTGATTTTTAAGATACAAGTGAAAGGTTAGGAATCAGTGAGAGTTTCAACACGTGTTCAGTAATCTACTATGCATGTAATGCGTTTATTTTGTTTATGTAATATATTTTGTACGTGCAGAGGTGTATTAATGTAGAGGTGTATCTGTACTGCATGTTATGATAAAGTACAGATTGCAATGAACAATTTCCCACATATTTCTACATACTGCGTGTTTTGTGGTATCAATCGTGTTGAATTCAATTTCAGCAAAATTTTGATGATTATTCTCTCGTTGCAATTAATCAAAATAAAATCTTGCCATGGTGCTACATCGTCCTCTGGCAGTCGTTCTGTTTTAATAATTCGCGAATTCGTCCCTGTTGTCTATGGTATGCTCTACTAATTCACTGACTCACTAATTTGGCGTTGTGACAGTCGCATTACACCATCGAGAAACTCGACGCGATTTTCTTTTCTTTTTTTTTTCGATCTTTGTTACTTCACAATATTTTTCCTTATACACCAAAATTTCTTTGAATGTAGCATAAAGATCGTGATGGCTTATACGTATGTATTTCTGAACGCACAATCGAGGAGACATATTGTTTCATGTGTACGTGAAAAAAGAATGAAGGAAGATTTTCCTCTCTATAATTATCATGAACACTTCTTGGCGGGATATGAACAGCCAAAATTTTCGAATTTAAAAAGATTTCGAGCTGTTGGACGGTATTTCGATGCTCTACGTTGTTTGGCACAACAAGATGCGACAAATCGTGGGATCGTGGCAGCTGCAGGCGTGAAATTTATTCTGTTAGATAGAACACGAAATTGGACGAAATTGTATGCAATTTAATCGAGAATTTTCGTTCCAATTCCTCTTTCATTGTTTCAGAAACGATCGCATTTATAATTACTTATCTGACTGTGTAATTGACAGAAATAAGACAATAGTAATACGTTTCTTCACTATTAACATTAATCAGTATACTTTACTACTTAATTATACCTGAAATGTAAGAACGAAGATATCACGTGTCATTTACCTTTTATAAAATTAATTTTCATCAAAGCACATTGTTTAATGTTATTTCTGTTGTATTATTTTTCAGGTACAAAAAGATGCTTATAATATATAAATAAATTATTATCAATAAAAATTGAAGATGATTTTGAAAAGTTACAAGGAAGCATGTATAAAGATTTAATATTATCTTGAAGATATTTCTAAGGCGCTTTGTCAATATACCATTCATCATAAAAAAATTATTACTAGTCCATTAACAATAAAAATAGGGATAGAAACAACATTTAGCACATTATAATTTTTATCGTTTTAAAATACGTGCGTTTTTTATTTTACCAGTAATACAGATTGTAATAAAAAGCAGAAGCTCCACATTTTATTTATATGAGACTAAATGTAAGGAGTTAACAAGGTCAAAGTTCACGAATGCAACTTCTCTCCGTGTTTTTGAAAGGTTCAGTGGAATATTAATAAGATGTTTTTGTTCTGTTTCTTCGTGGAACCAAACGTTCTCGAGTTACTGCAAGTTATCGTGTTGACTGCATAGCGTAAGTCTATAGGGAAATATCATTATGTACAGCTTTATCTTCTTTCTCTTCATTTCCAAGGACTTTAGCGAGGATTTTTGCCATTTGCAATTTTTATTTTACTTTCATTTCATCAGCGAAATTTTCTTTACTTATAGGATTTGATGTATAGAAATATTATAAACACAAAAATATTTCAAAGAAATATTTCTTTTACCTTTGACGCACATTGCTGCGGATCATGTAAAAGCTGTACACGTTTACATTGGGCTAAGATTTTTTCGTGGAAAATAACGTTTGATTTCTTGTAGCATCAAACATGAATTGTTATAATTTCCAGGACTAATGGTCTGTGGCTGGAAAGAACAATTGGGTCAAGATGGTATACCAACAAATTTACAAGAATTTATTTTTTCTGACTAATATCGAAGATCATACCTTTGGAAGTTTATTATAAATATTATTTCCTGTTTAAAGTAATTGAGAAGGTTGATTTCTATTGATTAAATTATAAAAATATATATATCTAGTCAAACAGAAAGACATCTTTTACAATTTTCCAAGATGTTTCATTTTTATAATGTAATTTTTAGAACTATAGAGTACAAAACATTTTTATCTATAACTTCTTATTTTTGATGAAGTATTTAGACGAAAAAATTTTATTACAAAACTTGAAGAGTTCGTTGATGAAAAGGATTAACATGTAAAGGGATATTTTAATAACCGGCTTATATATTGCCATGCTGTCCAATGTGAATTAAACATTTTAATAACTTAATAAGAATCCTAATAAAATACGTATAATGCAACAATGGATCAAGAATGGACGCCAATCGATAAAACGGCTAAAACCGCATTAGATAGGAATTTCTACAAATTTTACATGTATAGATGCGTGAAACGAGATCGTTACTATTTGCAGAGGAAAATTTGGCACCGTTTATCGATGTAAAGAGAAAGTAAGTGGTTTGATGCTCGCCGCAAAGGTGGTGAGCACTGCGAAAAAGGAGGACAGACGAGCTGTGGAGCGAGAAGTCGAAATTATGAGACGACTGCAGCATCCACGACTTATTCAGCTCTATGATGCCATAGACACGGGCAAACAAGTATACGTAATTTTGGAACTGTAAGCACTTAATACCATAAAGCGTTCAATCGACCAAAACAATTATATTGATTATGGTTATTTTCGTGTATGTTTAAGGATCGAAGGTGGCGAACTATTTGAGAGGGTGATCGATGACGACTTTGTATTAACAGAACGTAGTTGCGCCGTTTTCATGCGACAAATCTGTGAGGGTATAGAATTTATTCACCGACAGAATATTTTACATTTGGATTTAAAGGTGAATTATAAAAAGATCCTGCTTTTGGTGCTTCATTTGAGTATATAATTAAGAGATTTAGTTTATTAACTGAATAAAAAATAATAAGAGTTATTTCCAAAGAATTTTCAAAATGTAAAGTGGATTATTTTTGTTCGTCAACCTTTTATACCCTGCAATATAACGATAAACTAGATGTTGTACTTTCTGTTTATAGCCTGAAAACATATTGTGTTTGACGAAAGAAGGTAACAGGATTAAAATCATAGACTTCGGCTTGGCGAGGGAGTACGATCCAAAGAAGAAGCTGCAAGTTCTATTTGGTACGCCAGAGTTCGTTGCACCGGAAGTCGTAAATTTCGATCAGATTGGTTATGGTACCGACATGTGGAGTATAGGCGTCATCTGTTACGTATTGTAAGTTGCCCTTCAATGTTGAACCTATGTTCAATGATATTTTACTAAATTATACGAGAAAAAAGGAATATAACATGTAAAACGAGACTCGTATTCTATTGCTCTATTTTCTAACGGTGTAAAGAATATAAATTTAGCATTTGTTGGTTTGATTGTAAATTGTACCAGTAAGTAGCTATGAAAACAAAAGATAATCGTTTACTTATGCATCAACTAATGTAACTTTTCTTTTAAAATGAGGAATTCTGTATTCAGGAAAAAAGATGTTTTATAAGAAAATTTTGTAATTTTTATCTAAAAAATTGTACGTTTTTACTTTTATTTTCAGATTATCCGGTTTATCACCGTTCATGGGGGATACAGATATTGAGACTATGGCTAATGTGACCATCGCGAAGTATGATTTTGATCATGACGCGTTTGCCAACATCTCGGAAGACGCAAAAGACTTTATTCGGTGCCTGCTAGTCAAAGACAAAGAGTACGTATCGCTTGTTATTTTTGAGAAATATTACGTGGTATAGAGGTGACTTGGAGGACTCATGCTAAAATATCCGAACCACGTCACTAATAGCGTCCTTGCGATCGACAGAAGTCGAACGTGGACACTGACACGTTTGCAAAATTAATGAACGTAACTGCCTAGATAACGAAATGCAGGAACTTTTTAAGCGCATATTACTTGCCAAGAAAATTTAACGAAGTCATCAATGAATACTCGAACAATTTCCGTTTCGATGTAACTTATTTCATATTTCTGCTGGATTCGTTTATTTCATTTTCTAGATTAAATAATCCATTGCACCAAATTGTTCGGGTTACGTTAAATAGAATAACTCATGGCAAATGTTTCCAACTGTGGTGAATAATTTTTATCATGTCAAGAATGGTAAGACCAAGAATTAATTGTATTAATCTCTGTCCAGTTACTTTAATAAACTAAACTTCTAAAGTGCACAGTATTCTTTGACACATCTTAATACTTCACATCATAAACGTATTTAAAACTCTTCAATTAACCATAATGAAATATAACGTCACTTAATTTAATTGAAGAAAATTTGTCAAATAAAAGAAAAAACTTGTTTCAATGAGACACGTTTTTTAAACTGTTTGTTATCTAGGCAATTATATCCTATTTTTGTTAACTCTTTCACGGTTACTCTTCGACTTTCTCTCTCTCCCTTTGTGTCTGATTAATCCCGAGCATGTTTTCTTCATTTTCATGTTGCTTTTCATCCAAAACGATGTAATATCTCAATCGGAAATAATATCATAACTCTCATTGGACTTCAGTTTCGATTGAAGGAAATCGAGAAGCTTCTAAATGATGCAACCTTTTCATATCAAACATAGTAAGCACTAAGTGCATTTCGAAGGATCGAATCAAAATTTCGTTCTTGCCAATTTTCCAACTTCATTCTAAAGAAGAAACAAATTGCTCTCACCGTGCGTTCACGAACAGTCTCTGCTTATGTTCAGCGATTTGCAGCCATTCTCAAAAAAATAGCATCCGAAAGCGACCAAGGGAACGGATGTTCATCATGTCGTTTCTCAAATTCACGTGGCACACGAGACTGGTGTCTGGCTTCGATTTTCTACTCAAATTCCATTCAAGGGAACACACGTTTGTATACATACGCGCCCCACGCCTTTCCACCTCATCACCTACCACACCATTAGTACCCATTGCTGAAAAACCACATACGATTTCATGCTTCCGGCTTAAGAAAAAAGCATACGAATTTGTGTATGTGGGAGAGAGAGAAAAAGAAAGACAGAAACAGAGAAAGAGAACAAAAAAGCGCAAAAAGAATTGCTGGGATCACCTTCACGAAGAAGCTGTCGAATCTTTCAGTAATCGTATGACGGCCGTCCAGTGCAGAGAGCATCCCTGGTTGGCCAAAAAGCCAAGCACACAGCAGCAGACCGAAGAAACGGTGACAATTTCAAAACCGACAGCATCTGGGAAAAACCTGCGGATCCCTCGAGTGCAGACGAGCAACGTAGACGAGCTAGACGTGACCAAGGACAACCTGAGGCTGTTCGTCGAGCGCTGGCGAGAGCACCCAGACAGTCCATACCTGATCGATTTTCCTCAGTACACATTGCCCTCGCAGAACTCGACTCGCGATCACGAGGAATTAGTCTCTTTGGAGGGCCACAGCCCATCTCCTTGCGCTAGTATTTGCAGCACATTGTCGGAAGCGACGGACAGCTCTCCCCAAGAGAGCCACGGCTCGTTCCTGACAGTACCTACCTTCGGATTTGGTCTCGAAAGGAGAGCTTCTGAGGGTGTCGCCACAGAGAAGTCAAGGAGCGATCCCGCCAGCCAGATCGTTCTCGCTGAAGAAATAATTAAATTGTCAGAACGTTTGCGATCTATAGCCATGGGGACGTGTATGAAGTCAAACGAGGAGGAGACCTCCTCGGAGAGTAGTCACCAGAGCAAAAGGACGGAGAAACTTGAGGACAAGGATAATAGAAACGGTGTTCGTTCGAGGAGTAACGGATTGGTTGCTGAGAATACCGGGTGCAATGAGATTACAGAAAAATTGTCGAGTATAGTACGGCACAGGAAACTAAATGGAACGACTTTTCATAGCAGTCGTAGTTTTGATAAGTATTCCGAGCCGAACACTGGAAATGTTTTTGCCTCTTTAAAAAAAATGAAGCAGAAGAAAGAGGAAGATAGAAATCAGGAGGAATCTACTGGTTCTATTAGATCAGAATCTTTAGTAGGAAAAGTAGATAATTTGACGAGTGACGATAACGTGAGAATATCTAGCAGGAACGAGGTTGAGATGGATCTGACACCACCATGGCGACGTCCACGAGTGAAACAGTTTGGTGAGACTAGTAGGGATGTTCCACGAATTTCTGGACTTCGTAACTTGCACAAAAGTCTGAACCTTGATGAACCTACTAGCACTAAGAATTTGTTGCTTCATCTGCTTGGTGAGTGGGAAGAGGTTGCCACGAGGCCATCCGGTGTTGGCCGGAAGTCTGTAAGCGTCGACTGGTGCGGTGAAGAATCTGTAGCCAGAAAGACGATGAACTCTTTGGCTGAGTATTTCCAATCTAAGCAACAAAAGTCGACAGCTTCCAACGTTAGTTCGTCAGAATCGAGTTCGATACATCGTTGAAGCAATTTGTTAACTGGGTTAAGGACTATGTCGTTTTGTCTGTCGTCACGACAGCGAGCGTGATTGTTCATCGTTGTGAAGTTCTCAGGGCAATGGAAGAAACGAAAATAGTGGTAACGCTGGCTTCTACGATCATTTCATTCTACGATCTACGTTCATTTTGTTGTTTAATGCTTGCGCACAGAGATTGTTACTTCCGGTTTGAGCGAAGCTGAAAAGTTTGTAGTGAGTGTGTAATGACATTTATTTGAATTCATTTGTGTCGAATTCAAATAAATACGTGAGTTCCTGGTGAATTGCTCGTGTTATCAGATTTATTATGTTCGACTTAGAGAAACGGCTGATTATTAAAATTTTTCGGTAATCAATATGTGTATTAATTCTTTGTTTTCCAGAATATTCCTCTGACTTTAACATTTCCTTGTCAGCAATATTTATAACGCTAGAACTTGTTAGACAATAAACGAAAAAAACTTAAGAAATAATTGAAGTTAAAAATTTGATTAGAATATATTGGAAATTGTTTTCGTTTATTACATATGACGTAGATGTATAACTTGTGTAACAATTACGTACGTATATAATAACATCCAATCTTCTGTTAGGTTGTAATAAAATCAATTAACTTATCTACATGTCTGTGTATACGTATGTACTTGTTTAGTGTCTTATTTATATTATACATTTAATACAAAAATCTGTGACATCAAATCAATGAATAGATTTTCTTAGAGTAAAATAGTAAATCAAAAATTTATAAATTATGAATGTATTTTATATGGTTGATTATCATTTTATTATCAGTATTATTTTTACTAATATTCATTTTTTATTAATATAGTGTACATGATAAAACTAATTTCGTATGTATTGATGAATCAGCTTAAAAAGTAAATTTCGATATCAAAGTCCTTGCATTAAAATTAAAAGTACATTATTTTATCAGATGGTTTACTAATAATTGTCATTTTAATATACTCCAGATTACGGAAGACAAATAAAATTTTTGATGATTATTTCGATTACGTTATTTGAATTATAAATTTTTCATCTTACCTTTATAGAATTTTTTCTAAATGCAAATTTTATCATTGTTTTCCAAATATCAAAAATATTTTCGCAAAGGAGAAATTTTGTTATAATTACACAATTGTCTCTTCCGTTTTATGTAGTCACGGTTTATTATTAAGCAGCATTCTTTCCTTCGGTCTTTGTTATATAAACTTGACTTCCGTATTTTACGAAAATATTAAGATGTAAATGATTTCGCTTTGAATCGATCTGCTTAAAAGTAACCAGAAACTTGATCCATTGTTTTGCTCCAGGAAAAGACCATCCGCAGGTCAACTCTTAGAACACCATTGGCTAGAAGTGGCTCTGGAGAACCCGATCTGTAAAATTAGATTAAAGCGATATGTCATCAAGAAGAGATGGATTAAAGCAGTTAACACGATATTGGCATTAAGACGTATGGGAGCCCACTTAGAACTGGATTTAGTTTGATAGTTTATTTTTAGATAGCGAATTAATTTTCCGATTTTGACCACTATCAAGTAGAAAAAGATGATAATAATTTTTTGTGTAAGATACTTACTTGCATTAGAGTAACCATGTGAAGTATTTTTTTTTTCTATTAAGATGTAATAATTAGAACATTCGTATGTGTTGTACAGTTGAAATTAGAAGCTTCTGACATTTTATTAGAAGGCAAAATTTAAAATTTAATATTCCCTTCGACCTGTAAATTTGAAAACAATGGCAGTATTATAATTCCATTTAATATGGAACAGATGTATCAAAAAATGAGGTTAGGTGTAATTGAATTAATAATTGAAAATTATTTTTGAATACTTTTCATTGTTACTACTTAACATATTTATCACATATATCTTTTGTTATTTGTATAGTATAGTGATGCTTATTTATTTGTCGTATAATGCATAGCTAAAACTTAATTTTATGCTGAATTCAATTAGATAAAAGTATGTATAAATATAATTTAAGGAAAGTTTATATTATTATAAACATATATCAATTTATATTAATTTTTCATTTTTAAGGAGAATTTAAAAAATTTCTTATTTTCTTTTTATTCTGATTACCTATTTGAAAATCTTTGTCTCTTTTACTGAACAAATTATTTAGATTTGCACTTTTACTTTTGATATTTTTATTAAAGATACTAAAATGATTGTGTACTAAAATATTAAATATAAAATTGGTATATAAAAATAACTATAGTAGAAAATATGTTTTAGCTATTTTTCCTATTTAATTATTTTTCTGTCATCAGTTAAATTGATTAATTGCAAGTTCGATATATTCTTCATAATACTCCAATATTATATTATTATTTAATATATAACATGTAATTCTATAAAATCAAACAGCATTGTAATTTTATATTTATATTAGTAACGATTACCAATGTAATAAATATTCTATTTTCCACACTCCATTGTACTAAATTCGATATGAAACTGCCTTTTTGTTATTAGAATAAAGAATTATGTCCGCGACATCGTAGATTTATAATCCGCATTCCCAGTATATACGTATGACGGCAGCGCATTCGTCTTTTGCTATTCGACGCGCCGTCGCGATTAATAAATACTAAAAGGTCGACATTGACGCCACCGTCGATAAAATATACGCGTTCGGGTACGAAATTCCTTCAGCCGCGTGTGTTGTGAATTTACGAGGCTCCCGCGCGATAGGAATTCGTATTATGTAAATACGCGCATGTAACGCACCAGCCGTGCCTTAAATAAAGTCTTCTACAGTGTCGTACACGACACGAAGCCACACGATGTTGTATTATATTAATAGCTGTAGATCCACCTGTTGTCTGACGTCTTGTGCTCCCAATCACGGCTGTTGCTCTTCGCTCGTTGCATAGACAAGGGCATGGGATAGCTTGATAAATAAAGTAAAGCTGGAAAAATAATCAGTATAAATAAAAACGATATCAATTACAACGATAAAAAGACATTATTTCTTTGTCCTAATAAAGTAATTTATTTTATATGACTAAATATGTTTTTGGAGGTTCGATAAAAATTTAAATTACGTTTTATAGTGATGATATATTTCTTCCAAATTTGATGTATCATCATATACACATAAGATATTTATATTTATCAGTTAATTTATCAAAATTATCTTGTGAATATAAAGAAAAAATCGATATAATTTTCATTCTACAAATACACATCATATTTCTCCATATTTTTAATGCATTGCACATACCTTCAAGAATGATATTAGTCGAAAGATACTGTATCATTTTTCAAATTTAGTTCTAGTTAGTCTCTATAGATGGCAGCATCGTATAATCTGAAATTGTTCTCAACCATTGCGTATATTTGTTGTATGCTAACATTCTTTATCGTGTAGTGGTTTTGGAAAGCACTAATTATGAATAATTATAATTAAGAAGTTATATATAAGTGTGCTAATAGTAGTCTTTTTCATACTTTAGTGTCGATTGTTATTTCCAATACCAACTGTAGTTTATTCTCACAAAGATGGTGAGCGAATATTTTGTAATAATAATAAAAATAATGTTACGTTACTTTAAACGTATTTCAATACAAAAATATTAATTTTGTTTCAAGATATTATTTAATGTTTTATACATACAATTTTAAAGGTTATGTTCTAGTTTTCTGAAAGTACATAACCACACATTCTGTAGAATATAATGCTAATGTTTTTAAAAATATAATGTATTTATGTTTTAGACGAATACATTGCAAAATTGGAGTCCTTATGCCAAAAAATATGATCCCTTGAAAGCAGGTAGTATTGATGGCACAGACACAGAGCCACATGATAAGGCCATTAGACGTGCAATGCAGGCACATTATGAACCACCTCATGGATTAAAATCAAAGCCAGAGAGAACATTATTTGTTGCCAGATTTGGTTCAAAAATTACTAAACATGATTTAAAGGAGGTAAAATAATATTTTATTTTAATGTAAATATGTTCACTTTAAACATTAATAAGTTTAGTTTTTTTCTAGGTATGGAGAAGTTTTATCAGCAAAAGTTATAGTTGATATTGTAACTGGATTATCTCAAGGTTATGGATTTGTAGAAATGAGAAGTGAAGACGAAGCTAGAAGAGTAATTAGACGTTGCGTTGATGCCACATTAAAAGGATACAAAATTTTTATAGATTATGAATGTGGACGTACTTTGGAAGGGTGGAAACCAAGGAGACTTGGTAAGTAATATATCTTAACAGTATATATATTTATATTCTATACATGAATCTTATATTTAAAATTTATGATAACTATTTTTATAGGTGGTGGTTTTGGTGGCAAGAAGGGCTCAGGTCAACTTAGATTTGGTGGAAAAGATAGACCTTTTAAAAAGCCAATTGTACCTAATATTATAAAATCTCATCATCATAATCAAGATCATCATAATCAAGAACATCATCGTCATCATCATCATCATTAAAAAAATTCTCTATTTTATAATTATAATTTTATTGATGGTTTTATTTTGTATATATATCAGTAATGAAATGAAACATTGAATATCTTCGAACAATATTATTATGTTGTATCTGTGTTTGATGAAAAATTTTTGTATAAATTTTGTCATTTTGGCTTCATTTCAAAGAAAATACTTGAAATCTGTACATATGTAATTTCTACATACATTAGAAACAACACTAATGTGTATTATGAAACAATCTATTATTAAATTTCTGTTTACTTCAAATAACATTTATTGAAAAATGTTTCACTTCGTCGATATTACTAATAAATATTTATAGGAATGTAATAATGTATTTTTAGTATATTAATAATAACGTATAGATGTTAGTATTTACAAATAAAAGACATTTTTAATAATAAATCATTTTCTCAAACTATTTTGTAAAATATCACGAATTTATATTATATTTGAATCTCTATAAAACATATTTTTTGAACATTATATAATAGTATTTAGATTTTTTTTTATTATTGTGTATATATTGAATGACACTAAAATTATCTCGGTAAGTTATATCGTGTCCGTTTCCAAAAATTATAAAGCACATTTCAAACAATAATATCCCTTCTAAAATAAATTATAAATTTCCATATAAAAACATTGCATTTCATATTCTATATGAAAATAAGAAAATTGTTCGATTCTTCAATACTTTAACAAAAATTATTACCGTAATTATATTCATCATGTAAAGACACAATTCAATTTCATGTTGCTACTAAAATTCGTTAACATGGAATCGTTTCGTGACGGACAAAATCACAGGAATCCAGTTAACTATTCAATTCGTTTTATCGGAAATCAATTAACTTGTCAACGATTACTGACGTACAGCACGTTAATAGAGAATATATAGAGGTATCCTATAACAAGTTTAATTTTGTTAAATGAAATCAAGTCTACTTCATAATGGAATTTTCATTGCGTTGAATATAATACCTTTTTATAGTGAAGTAATTATATACAAACTCTCTATTTTATCTCGGTATTTGGAAATTTGTATTAAAATTTCGGTAAATCTTAAATTCTTCGTATTAGGTGGGCGTATAGGAGTTAACAGGCGTCGCACACTCAATTAATCAGTAATCGTCTGTAAAGCAACGAAGCCAAGGGAGACGAGCTTTCTGGCGCGGTGTGAAGCGACGTCGTCAGCGCTGTGGAACTTTATACCCAGGCGTCGAGGCACCCTCTCCCTAACGCGGCCCCCTCCATATATGGAGCCGCCTCGTGGTCGACGTCGACCACGCGGACGAAGTTTTAGTCTCCAGGCTGCCTCTGATAAGGTAGTCTCCTTCCTTGTCTCGTCTCACACTGCCTCCTCCACCTTCGCCAAGGTCTCAGAGGGCCAACCCACATTCGTTTATCGCGGCTCCTATTTCGTCGGCTCGGCCGCTGCTCCCATTTTCACAACACAACGTTACTCTGCCTCTAGTGCTTTTTTTATTCACGGACACAGCTGCCGGAGTGGTACTACGTATTCGATCATCGCTATGCAGTCTCGTTACTAGGTGTTACCAGGGATTTCTTCATTTAAATCCTTTTCTGTATTTTATTTCCTATTGGGTTTGATTATTTCTTGTTATGCAGAGTATTTGTTGTGGATTAAAACTGATTAAAGATATCTAGTGTAAGAAACGAAAATGTTGAAATAGACTATCTTTGAAGCATATACTATTAATAATTTTATTAACTATTATTGTTGTTAAAATAACAGTTCTATTTATGAACAAATAAATATTTTATAGAATAAATTTTTGTAACATGTGGATTTATATTACATAGAATTTTGAATTTTATATTACATAAAATATTTTGTAATTTAAGAAAAAAATAAATACCTTTTTATTTTGTAAAATTCAATTGTTGAATGAATATTAAGATAGTGATATTTTTAACGTTGTAACTGTTTCACAATCTTCTTGCCTCTTTTATTTCTTTCTTTCTTTTATACGAAAGTATATTTTATTAGCTGAAATGCGAGAACCTATTCAGTTACTGGAATATGTGTAGGTAATATATAATCTATTATATTTTATACGAAAACAATAAAATTGTAATGTTTTAGATGCAGGAGATCTAAATAATATGCTGGACGTCATACCGATTTTTCATGCATTCCACTGGGATACCTTTATTCCTTTCTTCCTCACGTTCATGCCGGTACATTCTTACATTTTTCCCTCGCGTATTTGAATCTCCTTTTCATCTCTTTAATACATTCTTTATGACTAAGAAAATTTTATTCTACCTTTAAACCGTATAAAATTCTTCAAATCCCAAAGGAAAATTTTATTTTATAGAACATAAATCTTTTTATTAACTTTACGACAGAAGATAAATCTTATAGAAGGTATTTTTGTTACCATCTGTGAAGTATGCTGAAAATCATCCATATTGGTCGATCGAACATATACGAAATATTCGATAAATAATATCGATAAAGGGTTAACAGGTGTCGTTTCGTTCGTCTTTCTATCGTCAGTTAATAAATAGCATTGCACGCTATCGTTTGTATTAATCGTTATAATAATGATTATATTAAGTTTAAGCGCACAAAGTACTACATCTGATGACTTTAAGCAAAGAAACCACTAGCTACGAGTTTCATGTTGTCATTGCTGGAGGATAAATATATTTAGTGGCATGTTCACGTATACCGGTCGGGTAGTAAACTTTCCACCGGTGGCGAGCTTGAACACGAAACGACGACGGGACAGATATAATGTGGCTATATCAGCGTCAGAAATAACTCTAGGAGAAAATTTATCCCGAATTTCTGTTTTCGTTTCAGTGTATACACAGATAATGATCGACCTCGGTTGACGGAATGTAGTCAAATTGACTTGTAATATTTTTCCTATATTCGTTTAATAGGTTAATTTTCTTAAACATTTTTGAACTTGATGCTTTTAAATACATTGTATAAAAGTTTGTACTCCGTCGATGAAATATGTACACAGGTTACGAATCTTTATTGTTTATGACACTTTAAGCTTTAATATGATTATTTGTTCACAATTACAGTTGCACACCGTTTCGTAGAAACGAAAGTTCTTGAAGGCGTATTTTACATTGCTAGCGTCCTTAACCTTTCGTATTTGCGGTTAGATGTCTCTGGATTGATTTTTATCCCGCCTGTTTAGACGAGACATCTTGCGTCTTAATAATAAGACACGTGAGAAATTTCGCTACATGTGAACGATATTCAGTTATGACATCTCATTTAAAAAGTAACAATGGTATATACATATCTATATGTTAAATATTTTATTCATGGATGTGAAAAGTATAAGTAAATATGTTTATAATGTTAATTAATTTTCTTCATTTTTTATCATTTTTTTGCATAATTTGTGGTTAATATTGTGTAAACAAAAATTCTTCACGACCTTTTAGAGGAAATAAGAATGTTTATCGGTATATATATGATCCCAATCGAAGATAGGAATCGATACGATATGTGTTTATCGAAAATACGAATTAAGAGGAGATTTCATACAAAATTCGTTAATGTATAGATATATGGAATATGTGTGATGAATAAACTGCAACTAACCATTCTGTACTGATTACGAGTGAAAGAACTGCATGGAAAGAATAAGGTATATACATTTTTGATGCTATTCCAATTTTTATGCTACTTGCTCGTGAATACTTAAATATGATGTAATCATAAAGGGGATCCGTTAAAATCAGTTAAAACGAAAAAGTAGATGGTAAATCTGAAAGTTTTATAAAAACAATAATAATATTACGAATGTTATAATAATATTTTCGAAATATTCAACAAGGTGGTAAGAATATATATTCAATTTTAAAATTAAGTAAAACAGATTTTAGTGATGGATAAATTCAGAAGTTATAATGTGTATTATTATATTCTCCCGTATAGTTTTGCAATGTTACTGCAAATAATAAAAACGGAAATGTCGTGTTTCATTTTTAGAGAAATATCACGCAATCGATCTGACTTAACCAGATGGAAAATGATGGGAAACTAGATCATCGAGTTAGACGAAGCAGAATTAACACGTTTCACCATTTTCCTGTAATTTGAATTGCAAAAACGTGCAATATCAATCCGAGACACGATTGCGTCACAGAATTTGTTAGTTCCTGCTTTAAGGTACGTTTCAACCGACTGAAAATAATTACGTTGCGTGTATTATCACGATAGTCCGTTTATTAATAAGCAAGCCATTCTTCTTGCAGGTTTTACATCAAATATACCTCGTACCTTGGATTTCACCTTCTACTCCGGAGATCAGAAATCTCATTGTAGATACGGTCAACGGATATTTCGCTAACAAGCTTTCCTTGTAAGCTTTTTTCCACAACACACACACATACACACAGGTATACACAGATATATACGTATTACCTTCTTAAGAGGATATTTCGGAAAATAAAAGAAACGTTGAACGACTAAGAGCAAAGCTTTCGTTGTATGTGATAAACAGGTCCGCCGAATAACGTTCTCTTAAAGCGTTTTTTAATTCGCAGCAATTTCCAGCTCTTGTCCCACCCTCTTGTCCTCTTTCAGACGTGGGCACAATTACGAACTCAAGATTTTTCGCTCTGCTATTAAAGGTACACCTCCATTTTCTCCTTTTCTTCATGCTAGCCGGTGAACGGAAGTGAAGGTAAAGAGGAAACGTGAAAAGCTTTGCGAGTGGTTGCCACGTGACGCTCGAATAAACTGCTATTTTTAAATCCATAGAATTACGCTTGCACTGGTGGACTTCTGGACTTCGGGAATTAAAGCTCTTATTGTCAAACGAAGGGGTTTTGATGCATTCGTGAACTTGGAAGGTTGAATGGTGAGGAATACTACATGATTTCTTTCAAGACGATTATATATAAGTAGGTTGGTTTTGAAGCTGATTAGAAAATTAGGGATTAACCGTGAGAGATTGTTGAAACGAAAATTGGGTATGAAAGGTATAACTATTTATTAATTACAACAGTTGAAGATGTACTTGAACATTGTCAGATTTGTTTTGGTGTTTACCTAGTGACTAATTAAAAGTAACCTCATGTTTTTTATCAGCTAAAGATGCTTTTGTACGATAAGTATTTAATGACGTGGTAATGACACACGATATTCAGTGGTATTGTGATGTAATTGTGATGAAATATGATTTAACTGAAAGTTTTATTTACAAACTTTATCTATTACGTACGTCTGTATCGCAGAATATAGAAAGGTAAAAAATAAGATTATGATTCGGTTAATTACAGACCTAATTAATATATAGTGTTATGTTTGCTATGCTCTATCTCATTCCACTTAAGCCACATTTACAACAAAGAAACGTTTTCGAAAGTATTAATGCAAAATTCACTATTAAATTATTCACTCTAGTGGTGACTTTGTTATTGCCTATGTCATTCGCGTAGAAATATTGTAAGAACAAAAATATTGAATTTCTAATTATCCAAATGCGTGAGCAGAAACTTTCATGAAACATTACTCGAATGTATAAAATAACGTTTTCAATATTTCATTATGTTCCACCTTATATGAAAATTTATACGGATGATTCATAATTGATCTGTTATTAGCGATTTATTAGACCAAGTTACCCTGAGCTTATTTGTATCAGCATCGTACCATGCCAACAGTCACCTGTAAACTTTGGAGCTTTAAGTTTTCCTTCCTCTTTAAATATCACCGTGATGCATAGAAGAGACCGAGTAACGCCCTAATAACTTCAAAAGCCATAACAAACGTTTGTATGTGTACAAATTTTCCAATTTGATTAATCACACGAACCCATTCACGATCCAATGTTTTTCATCTCCAGAACACTATCCAGTACGAGAAAAACACGAATAGAAAACCAGCAGAACAATGGCAAACAAGTTTCCTCCACCACGGCTGTCCAAGCTCCTAATCAAGGTATTCAAGATTCGCTTATCCCTCCCAAACTCTCAGTTCCATCGATGATTCGTGTCGGACGACAGAGGTTGCGGGGGCGGAACACAGGCGGCAGAAGGGGTCCACGGGACAGAGAGCGAGATCCACGCACGGGAACGCGTATGTAGAAGGGACGAAAATAGTAGCGTGCCAGGATCGTATCACGCTCGCGCCCCACGGACGTGGATCTGCTTTCTATTAATAGCGAAACGAAAGGGAGCGATCTCGAGTCGGCTGTACCGAGTAGGCATCGTCCCGAGTCTTGGTGCTGTCCAGGCCCTGATCGCAGGACTTCAGAGCCGCTCGAGCTGTCGCGGACTCCACATTCCACCGGCAAAAGCTCTTCCGTGCGTGCCTGTTGGAAGCATCTCTTGCTCGGCTGGTGCCCCGAGGCGAACCCTCATACCACACGTCATACATACACATCTCCCACCTGACCCACACGTCCACACAACATTGCCATACACATTCACACCGTTCGAGTGTAAGTTTCTATAAACTTCTATTTTTTTTTTTTTTTAATTGTGCTCCATAATCTTCCGTTTAATTGTTATAACTCAGTGACATATATTTATCCGTATTCCGGGGACGTTCTCGCTCGATCTTGGTTCGCTGGTGTCCGCAGGTCGACCTACAGTCGACGAGGGTTTCGAATCAGTGAGCATTCGATTGCATGCCTTGCACGGGTTCGTTACAGTGATATTGTATGATGTATATCCCGACCGACGATCAGACGTCGCTAACCAGAGAGATCCTCGTCTTCGTTGCCGTTTCGTGGATCGATTTGATACATATCATGAATGGGATCAAGGAGAAGATTCGATATAACAGAGTGTGACAGTGAAACGTCCATGGAGAGATCAATTTGTTTGGAATTCGAGGGTGAAGGAACCGGTCGCTAGTGTCGAGGATCAAATTCCCTTCCCGAGGACGATCAGGCAAAGATGGGTCTGGATATAGATAGCCGAATATAGACGGGTGGTATAGACGGTAAACAGTTCAAAGGATGGTCTCAAGGCTTCGTGTAAATCCATGTCGAATCTAAATTCATGGCCAGAGATACTCGGGTCCTAAGGATTTACGGGCTAAAAAGCTGCAACCAGGCGGCGTCTGGCTATGCTGAGACTTAATCTACTGAAGCTACGCGAGATCGGACATCTCGATGACCCAACGTCCAAATGGATACTAAGGTCGGGAACTTCGCGTGAATAGTCGAACAAATATCCGGGTGACGCTGGGAACAACGTGGCAGCAAATTTGTCGAGTCCCCGGTGGAGTTCGGTTCCATCTTCGGTCGTCTTTCATGGTGTGCCTTCGACGAGACAGCTATGTGACACGTTAATCGTTTCGGAAATTTACAATCGGGGAACCCAGCACGTCTGCGTTGCCTAGTTTAACAGAACTGCCGAAAAACGGAAGGAACATCGACGTTCGAGGACTGAACAAAGGGAATCCGTAAGATGCCTCGTTTTCATAAGCTTGTAAGGATGTTTAACGTGGAACGAAGACTGCGAGGACAGGACCAATTTCTCAGACGTACCACCCTTTCTTTCTAATTTTTTTTTCGCGTAATACGACACGATAAGTCGAATATTTTACAACGAAACGTTAATTTCTCTATTTTTAATGCTGTTTAGAATCCGATGTTTGGATAGCGTCAGGGGATGAAACTATTTCCCTTTTCTAGCATGGCTGGACAGAGGAAGACGGATATAGAATCGCGTTGGCGCCGTGATAACTCACCGCCTATAAATGTACGTCGAATATCCCGTTTTGAGACATTCGATCGTGACGTATACAATTATGTAACATTGTTTCCACTCCCACGCCTCGCGTCAGCCCGCACGCGACACTGTGCATCGTAGCACATAACGCCAAACACCACGCGGGACTATTTGCAAAATTAGCAACAAGCTGTACCGAGATCGCCTTTCAAATTTCCCTCCAACTTGGATAGATCGACCGTTCTTTACCACGATCTTCCACCCGTCCAAGAGTGAACTAATTAGAAACAAATCACGGACAGAACAGGAAGGGAACATCGACGAGGGAAAAGAATGAGACGAAAGAGAGGAAAAACTTTGTGAATGAAACGAAGGCGGAGAAAATGAAAAACATGGCCAAAGTCGAGGCTTAATTCGTTCGCGAAGATAGGAAGCGATCGGCAAGTTCGATGACGATAACGGCAACGAAGACGAGATCAAGGAGGAGGTAGAGGGACTCCCATAGAGAGCGGAGACGAAGGAGGGAGGCAAAGGGAGAGAAAGAAAGAAGGAAAAAGGAGAAGGGAGAGAGAGAAAGAGTAAGAAAAGCCAATAAACGAAGGGAGAGAGAGAGCAAGAGAGAGACAGACAGACAGAGAGAGAGGAGTAGAGTTGGTTTTCTAAAATTAGAGCGACGAGGAAGAGAAGGGGATGGCTCCTTATAGAGCTTGCAACGTCGAGCTTGCGGCCAGGGTTAGCAAACTGGCACTCTCTTTCTGGTCTCAGAATATCAGATTACCTTTGCACCAGTGCATCGTCTCGCCCCTTCGACTTCTTCCTTTCTTTTCTAGCTTTCTCTTTCTCGCGGCAGCAAGGTTCGATTTATGCTCGTCGAGCACCCTTCGTCTCTCGCCCACACCCTCCGTATCTCCCTCCTTTGTACTCTCGGTTTGTTTATCGAAAATTTTCTGTGAGAAGTGCGCCACGTTGGCGTCCAAGAACGGCGAGAACGGATGATCGAATCGTTGCACGAGCGGATGTACCGGTGATCCTTTTTCCCTTTTTCGTCGAGATTTCCTCCGCGAGTGCTCCGGCCGTATTTTTCTCCCTCGCGAAGGAGAAAACGGACACGAGACCGATATCCTCGCGTCGACCCTTTGTGAGATCTCGTGCGGACACGAAGGCTTTCGTGGATCTTCCTACTCCTTCTTTTTTTTTTTTTTTTTTCTTGAGAGGAAAGGATCGAGCACTCGAGACGGACGATTCGATCGTTCCTCCTCTCCATTCGTCGCGACGGGAGAAATAAAACGTGACCGGAAATCGAGTAACCATGCTCGGTGAAATATAACGAAGAGATAAGCCGTAAGGACGCGTTGTGTTAATCGGTGGTTTGTTTGCGTGTTGCAGTACCGTAACCACCAGCAGACATGTCTGACGACGAGGAACAATACTCGTAAGTATCCGAACCGAACAGGAACAATTCCGAGAAATATTGAATACAACCCCGGCATTCTCCGTTGCCTGGAAATGATCGACCTTCGATTCCATCTCGTTAGAATCTTTGCTTAGATTAAGCATCACGAAATTGATTTTGACAAACGACGGAGTCGGTACCAGTGAAAAAGAGGTACGTGCACGACTGATAAATCGAGCATGAGTCGACAGTTACGTAAGAGCGCTGCACGTGGTATCGAACGGTGGCTGAAAAATGGCCAGAGGCACACCGTTGAAATATCCATGAAATCGGAGGTGCTCGAGTGACGGAGAGTGTCGAGGATATTTCAGCTGAGCGTAACTTTAGGTTAAGAGATAGCTCGATATATGGCCCATCGAAGCGTCACAGAGACATGTCGTCGATAGATCACGTTCAGTCTTTCTTAGTGCCGATCTGCAGGGTCGAGAATCACTGAATTCTAGTTACATTCTCGACGCCGCTCTGTCAGGTTGCTACATAAGTCGAGGATTAAACCCCCCCGAACCCCTCACCCTTCGATGTCGCAAACCGAACGATATACGACGGAATGAATTGCGTCCACGTAAGATGAAATTCACCGTGATTTGTACGCCCCCTCTCGTACTGTGTATCTCACGTTTAATGCGTTGTTATCGATATGTACCCCGTCCGCCCCCACCCTGCCACCCACAAGTTTTGTTGTGAAAGTAAACCAACCTAAAACCCCCCCAGGCCCACGTGTCTTTGTGTTGAACAAACCGTGATCGTTGCACGTCACCCACCCCCTCTACACGATTGAATTGCACGCCAAAAATGTTTTCTCTATTCGTAGTCTTATTCATCGCATTTCGCACACATATTCGTTGTTTAACGGAACGTGTTGAGGTTAGGATAATTTCACGGAATTATCGCGGTCCTGTGATCGTCGAAACGGGATCACGGCCGATGCAAACGGAGTTTTCGTTTATTTTTGAAACGAGGAAATCGAAACAGGGACCGTACTTACCGGCGATGAGTCATTCTGTTGGGTCGACCAATGGATCTATATTCAGTGGGATGGGCAGAAGCATCCAAAAATGTCATAATAAATTTTATCCTCGTTACTAGATCTTATTCCCATATATATCCGTTTTCGCGCATTCTCTTCGCGAACATAACCTGAATGGCGAATTACACGATTGAGGTTAGAAATTTTGAATACGGGGAGAGAAATGCATCTTTGGTGTGCAATTGAGCCGAAGCCCCTGGAAAATGTTCACCTGCCCGTCGCCCCTCCCCGCCGCGGCCATATTTTACTGTTTTCGTAGTTTTTTTTCTTTTTTTTTTTATTGTTCCCTAATTGCCCCCTACGTTTACCTGAACCCGTTGACTAACAAATACCATTTTCCATTTTCTGTTTTACAGCAGCGAGGAGGAGGTGGTCGAGGAAACGTAAGTGTTGCTGGTAATTCCTTAATCCCTCTAGATCGTTCCAAAAATACTTCTAACGTCCACGTTCTCTCATTTTCTCATTCCAGGAAGTAAGTTCCAGAGGCGTGTCTGCGTTTAGGTGTCTGCTACCACTGCGCAGTCACCGGGGAGTCGTAGTAGTTGTTTTCTGATTTCGATTTTAGATTTTAGACTCCTTTCACAAAGCAACGGTTCCATAAGAGCCAAGCAGCGTTCTTCTAGCCGCGATCGTTTCGTTTCTACAGAGACAATCGTCGAACGTGTTATAAGTACTAGGTTCTCGGGTACAGTTCGTTTACGGGGATTTCCAGAGAGATCGTTCGTAGCGCGGTAAATTTGAATTCGATTAATTCGTATTCGATTAATTTCAAAATTCCGAAATTTCTTTTGGACGTGTGATTATTTATCATTTATTTAAACGTTAAATAACATAATATCGTGACGATTGCCTAACAATGGTGAATCTTATTTTTACAAACTTATGTAATTTTGCAATCATAGGCTCATGGCCATCGAAACATTAAACATTGCGTTCGTTTGTGAACTCGGTTGAAATTAGAACAGACATGCTGCTTTTTACAAAAATAGGACGTGCCATTTGGCGCTGCCACCTTGTTGCCTTCGATACTAGTTTACACAATTGTAAAACATAATACAATTTTTCCTGTTTCTCGCTCCATTACGATTGTTTGATCACGGGTCGCAGCTGCGAAGCAATGTAAACGCGAGACAACAATTTTGAAATTATTGCAATTAAATATTCAGTTACGTTCGTTTAATTTGCTTTTGCATTATTAAGTAAGCAGCAGATGTGCGCATTCGAAAATTTTAATGGAAATTCGATCAATAATCCGAATTCTCGTATCTTCTATCAGACTTCACGTATCATGAAAGAATCGAATTTCGAGAAGCGAAGATTGTATCGAAAAATCGCGTTCGTGCCTCGGAGCGATCTCTCTCGAACTATTGTTAAAATTAGAACAGTCGGTGCTTCTCTCACGAAAATAGAGCAGACGAATGGCGCGGTATCTCCGTACCTCGAATCGCATATTAAATCAACCATGACCATCCTATGATCCAACGAGAACGCGCAGACCCTCGAGATATAGTGGGGCCATGTCGTGAGGCCATTTCTCTTTCGAGCGCCATTTTGTTTGCGCAAACACGATGCACGATTCGACATTTTCTTTCAACGACGGCGATACGTTCGTGGTATAACAGTTTCGACAGCATCGAAGGAAAATATTGAGTCGTTTCGGGTGGAATGGACGCGTTGGGAAATATTTTCCCGTGTGGTGGCGTTGCGGAGTTATGTGGATCTTCCGGGACCGCTTTCTCCCGATACTTCCTCGCGGGACCAATATCTCTCGATTCGTCCAGCTTTCTAGCGAAAGTAAAAGAGAACACGACGAAAAGGAAACAATAATTACTATTCGATTGATCTAACCCTGATTTATTTGCGTTAACGTTCGCTCATAATTACTTAGACTGGATGTCATTATTTTTGACTTTGGTTTATGATCTTCGTTTTTCTCTCTGTTTTCTGCTCGCAATCCGTCTATAATAATCCGTCCCTTCGACTGAATCTCCACATACAATACACAAAAAAATATTATCGACCGACCAATCAATCAAACCACCCGTCACCATCGACCAAACGACCAACGCGGCGCGAATCGAAAAATTGAAAAATGAAAGGCAGCCGGAGAGGAAGATCGAGTAAGTTTGTTGAAAACAATTCTACATTCGCCTTGTATCTTGTTCAGGCAGCTACTTACTGGCAATGTTCACTTTTCTCGTTTTTTTCTCAGTCTGTTTCCTCTATCTCTGTCACTCACTTTTTCTCTCTTTCTATCTCTCTATCTATCTCTCTTTCTGTTTCTGTCTATCTTTCACTATCTCTGTTCCATCTTTCTTTCTCTCTGTTAATCTAGTCTAACCGTTACTATTGCTGTTGTTGTGGTTGTCGTCTTGTATCTCATACAAGTTTAGTACGTATCTGTTCGTCTGCTATATAGTTCTTACGTCTCCCTGTACACGCAATTTGCATTTTTTGTTTTTGTTTTTGTACATGGTAGATCTCGCTGCGAGGAGAGGAACAGTCTGTTTTCCTCTTTACGCCGTATTTTCATTATCACGCTTCCCAACGACATCGATGCTCTCTCTTTTGCCCAACGAGACACTCTCTCGTGAAATCATCGAACTACTCGTGTTTTTTGCTTCGTCGTCAATGCAACAACCGACGAGCCCTTTTTGCAACGGACACTCTTGCCGAGCATTTATCGTCCTCGTTGGCTCTGCTGTCTACGCAACACTTCTTTTCCATTCCTCATCGATGTGATACACACGGACGCGATTAATCTCAGGCGACTCTCGCGAGGAGGCTGATTTTTCCTCGATAATCTACGATCCCCTCTATCTTTTCACGCGAGCCAGTTGTTCGAAACTCGTTCGAGTCATTTCGACGCTCGTTCCATCGTCCGTTTCACGACGGATGTCTATTCTTTTTCCCTTTTCTCCTGTTATTTTCTTTCACTGTCTCTTTCTGTCTGTCTATCTTTTTTTCTTTTTCTTTCCCCTTTCTCCTCCTTTTTTCGCACCGTATTTTCGCGCCACCGACCACCGGGTTTTTTAATTTTCTCGAGAAATCATGCGAATCGCTCGGCACGCCGGTTAGATGGAATTTTCGAGTTAAACGTTAAAGCGATCCGATATCGTTGCTCGTACAATGCCTCGCCGAGGTGACGATGAAAAATCACCTCTTCCACTTTAGCATTAGCAGCGAAACGTGTCGTGGCCGTCAGTTACATCCTTCTTTTTCTCCCTTTTCCTCGTATGTAAAATTATCTTTCGCGAATCGCAGTGCACACGGGATTTTTGTACTTTTTTTCTCTCTCTCTCTCTCTTTTTCGAAAAGGTATTTCAATTTTACGTAAATACGCGGTTGCCTTATTTTTTCTCTTTCTTTTTCTCTCTCTCTTTCCGTTCTTTTCTCCTCCGACGTCAGTTTGCTTGCGAGATTTGCAATTTTTTGCGGAATGGAAAAGGTGAACCTGGTTTTCTGATCATTCTTTGTCCACTCGTTGTTACTTTCCACTGTTGTTTGGTCCGCCCGCTGTCTTCATCCTGTTGTCTTTGATGCTGTGTCGCTGTTGTTGTGTCGATGGTTGAAAAACTATGTTTATCTCGCCGCCATTTTGTCCTGTCCGATACACGTTTTCACGTATACGTCCGAGGTATTTTAGATAGCGTGATTTTTTGGTCGTTTCGAATGAAACAGGCATATCCCTTACACGCGTTCACACGATGCACCGGTGCCTGAAAAGTGAACATTTCTTTTGTCATAATCTATTGGCATAATTGGCATAATTGGTACAATTAGAAAACCTAGCATACAATGTCTAAAAGCTAAGGTAAAAAGATAGTTCTCTCTTAATAGACTTGATATCATTTTCAATGTAAAATTTCTGAAAACACGAGACGAGCATGAATATGATTGTATACGATGTGTATAATTTGTATATAACATAACACCAACGCAATATTCGTTTCAATTGCAAGTATAATATTTAGAGTATCATATTATCAAAATTCGTTCAAAAATTCGTACATATTCTTCTTTTCATGCACATCTAAAATTCCCAAAGGGGAAAAACGAGATTTATTCGTCAAACTTATTTGATAATTTTTATTAACTCGTCTCGCATAATCACTCGACGATTAGAAGATCCGACAGCTTTTCATCGATTTTCCGCTCTCTGTTCGATCTCAATACCAATCGAGAGTTTCACTTTTCAAGCACGATAGAGGAGAGATGAAGATCGCTCTTCACGTCCACAACACACCTAACAGACTTTTGTTTCCCTATGCATTACCTCTGTCGCATAATTGTCTTTCTGTATTCGCATTCTGGCCTGTGGAAAGGTTTTCTTTTTTTATTTCTTTTTTTTTATAAAAAAGCAATGTAAATACACGTTCATCACACATACCCGAACACACGTATGTAGAAGATCCTCTGGATGAAAGAGACGGTAGGCTGCCTGTTCTCCTCTTTTACATCGTCCATGAAAAACCGACGAGAACGCTCGTGAGACACGCACAGATTCACGCTGGCTGTTTCAGTCGACGAGCGTGAAACTTTCCTACGACTTGTCGTAAAGAATACGAAAGGACCGGAGTGAATAAAAGCGGATGGAACGCGGCAGACTGTCGTCAATTTTAACGATGCCGTTCTTTGCCCGATTCGGGTCTCAGGACTTAATCGTACCGGAAACGGTATAAGAAAATAACGAAAAGAAGAAAAAAAAAAAATTATAAGGGAAAGAACCGATAAACCGGACGAATATACCCCACGCGACCCCCACCAGCTCCACGTAAAGAAGCCCGTACGATTGCGATTGTTATTAATGTACCTTTCCTTTCTTTTTTTGTAGGGGTAGAGCGTCCCAAAAGTAAGTTGAATCTCGAAGGTTGTTTATTACACGTCAATAATACTTTCTTTGTTCTTCGGCCGCTCTCACAAACCCCCAAGCCCTTTCAAATTCCGCGCTTATATTCGAATTTTTGGCGGGAACGAGACTCGATGAAACGAAGCAAATCCAATCTTCTCGTCTTAATCAAATTTGCGTGGACTCGAATTCGACCTCGAATTCTATGCGTTATGTGCAATAGCAATTTCGTAGTTTCTGGTTTTCGATCCTCTGTCGGACGTTTATTGGGGAATTTTTGTCGGAATTCGTGTAGAATTGAATGTAATTTCGAATTCTACGTGTCACGAGTAAATAGAAATTCGTTTTGGTTAGCGATCTTTGGTTTCCAGTGTATAGTAGAAAATTCGTTTCCTTTAAAGGCGAAGCTTTTATTGCAAAATCGACAAGGAACTAGGTATAGGGAATTTTCGGAGACTCGCCACGGTTGAGTTGTACACAGTGTTGTTCACAGTTGGCTAGTGCTTTTTTCGAGGTTCTTGACCGTTCGTAGCAATCGAAAGTAGCCTGCACTATTCACGCGAATTTCTAGGAACGTGGTAGGATCGTATGAGCGAGAAGTTTTAAGGCTTTTGACCGTATTATGCGGCGCTGGTTGCATAAGGGCTAGGCGCAACTAATATAACTTGTGTCGGCTGGACGATTGCCAAACGTTTCATAAATATGTGTACGATAACGTAATGCGGTTTATTCTTATACCGTAGCTGCGGTGTACGTTCGAAACGTACCACGTTCCAACGTGATGTAATCTAATTAACGAACAAACGGTTCGGTGGAAAAACACAGCTATTGTCAAGTCTGCTGTTTATTTGTTGCCAAGGCTCGGTATTAATACTCCCGATATGTTTAAATCCAATAAGTAACATACCCGGGTTTTTGGTTCACGGTAGCATAGAAATAGGAGTAGACCAGGAGAGCTCGAAGAAATACCTCTGTCCTCCAGATACTTAGTTTCTTTAACACTGGAACTACCTGTAATGTGTAATTAAACACAGTACACACAGCGAATAGTAGCCTCAGTAGCATGTTATGAACAATTACGTACCTATTTCGATAAAATTCGACATTAATTTTCTCAAAAGCAGTTGCTCATTTCCAACACCTAATTGGCAAACCAGGAATCTGAAATCGTAATGAAATTATGATTAATTTGGTAGTTCTAATGTTAACTCTGAGTGAAGTATATACATACAGATTGTTAAGCTTCTTTAACACTGGAGCTACCTGTAACGTGTAATTAAACACAGTACACACAGAGAACAATAATCGCAGTAGCATGTTGTGAACAATTACGTACCTATTTTGATATAATTTGATATTCCAATACCTAATTGGCAAGCCAGGAATCTGAAATTGGCCATTATGATTAATTTGATAGTGCCAGTGTTAACTCTCACAGGAGTAGAAGTATATACACCCAGGTTTTTAACAAACATACCCAATTTTTTGGTAAAACTTGAAACTCGAAATCCCTTTTCGTATTTATAATTCGTTCTCACCGACGAATCCTCGTGTTACGTGTCTTACGTGTTTCTCTGTCACGACAGTTGTTTGTTATGACGTGAAATTCCATTAAACGTTACCCGTGTGTAGTACGTAATACAAAGTCTCGATCCCGCCAAAATAAATGGTCTAATATTCCGTGATCAGTGCACCACCCCTGCCCCCAAGCTCATGTTTCTCTCTATCTATCTATCTATCTGTCTCTTTTACCCCCTCTCGTGTTTTTTCTTTTTGTCTCTTCTATATTCTTGATTAATCACGAATTAACGGCTCTGTACATAATATCCGTGTGTCTGTTACATTCGTATCCCCATGTGTATACATACATACGTGTCCATGGGACCGCCAAGAACCGATTTTTCCGTTCATCTCGTTCAAAAGCCAACCTACTTGATGTCGTGTTTCGTGTTTTTGTCTCCTGCGTTTACAAAGAATCGTCTTTCTTTTTCCATTTTCTTTTAATTTTATTTCTATTTTTTTTTTCTCTCTCATTTGGTTTCTGTCACTTTGGTAATTCCCCATTTTCCCCAGCCCACTCTTTGTCACGTTCTGTTAATTATGTTCGACTTGCGCCATAATCAATCGACCCGCAGCAATTGTCGCAGAAAGATCGGCCAGATTATTACGGTGGGTAGCTGAATTTTCGTGTATCTTCGTAATCCATAACATATCTTCGTGTATCACCTCTCTGCTGTATCGCTATGCTTGCACGGAGATCCTTGGAAATCTCGTTTCGGGTAATTCGCTGGACAGTTTCGTAACACTGTTGGGTAACGATGTTACATTGGCAACGGTGTTAAACGATGTTTATAATATTTGTCATCTCGTTTAGAGTCGTCTACAGAACTGACCAGGGTCAACATTTGGAAATGGTCCCACTCGGTCAGTCTCATTTCTCAGAGTTGTCTTGTTGCCTGAAATTTTGAATGTTATCTGAAATGTCGAACCTTGAGGATATAATATGCATTGTATTGCATTATATTATATTATAATATATAATATAATGTATGATATATATCATATATTCGTAAATATTGTTATATAAAATATCTACGCGATATTTATATAACTATATATCGTTACATGAATATTATCGTGTATAATATAATGCTGTATTATTAATATCGCGATAGTGATCTTACTTGTTATTTATTTTTTCTTCGACTTATCGATTACGTTATCGCACGAAGATTCAGCAACCTACCAAGATGACATCGTCGAGACTTCATTTTTCATGTAAATTGGCCAGCTCCTCGGCTTTCGACTGTGGCTTTTTTAAAGGCGTTGTGGATAATAATTGATAATAAGAATGACGACAGCGATGACGCTGATAACGGCGGCGAAATGTGTGTGTTGCTTGCATTTGAGTTGGGAAAGAAGAAGAAAATGTCTGACGAGAAGAAGAGTGAGTGCCACATCTCTGTGCTCCAATTCTCTCCCAATTATCCTTTGTCATCGTCTTTTTAGAACTTTATGAAAGATCGTTTTACTCTATAAAACGGTGCAACTTCTTCATTATGGGGATTATCACCATAATTATCACATCTTCTGTCTTCACACATTGTTCTTATATCGATCACCGTTTCAACTTTGATTTTATTTTATTTTGTTCCTTTCACTGAATGTTATCGTAAGAGTATTATTATCTATAATCGTACACAGAGGTATTCGAGTATTTACGTTTGCTAATTTTAACAAGTGAAATGTTTGCAGCTTAATCGAAGTATTTGAAGCAATATGATACATATAACAAAAATGAAATCTTGAGATTATATCAGTGAATTTTACATGCAGCAATTACGGTGTATTTATTAATTTATGATAATAGTTGAGAGAAATGTTAATTGAGAAATAAATTTCGATATAACAGCTCCAAGATGATTTTTCATTCAGCACACTATTGCACGTAACTGCAATAAGTTACCTGCAAATATTCCATATATCGTCAAATTATTTTCTAATTTTACTGATATAATTTTGGCACTCTAATCTTGCAGTATATACCATATAGTTTCGAATAATTGAATTTAACGCGATTATTACACTTTATAAATGTAGCAAATGTAAGAGCTTAGGTACTTTGGTGTACGAATGTTCATATTTTATAATTACAGAAATGAATTAAGTAAATAGAAATATTTTGTTGTCATAATTTTAATTCAGTACGCTGTTCAGATCTGTCAAAATTTTCTCTTCGAACCTGCTAAATTGCTTTCTGTAAAAATGCTTAATCGCTTGTTCTCGAGCGGCTTTGAATTACTTTTTCCAGCTAAAAGAACTAAACGAGCCAACCTCGATATCCCGTTTCTCCTCGATTATCCACGAAAATTCAAAAATCGAGCAGTCGCCTATTTTCTGTCTCGGCGGAATCATCTTTAAAATTAGAGATCCTTCCTTTATTTTAAAGTTATCCTGGACTCGATCCACGTGACGTAATCCGATCAACGATCGCCCTCGTACTCGAGAATACCTCGAATTTTGAAATGTCTCCAAATGTCTAATGAAACGTACCCTTTGTACTCGTACTCGTTAATTTTTTGATACTCTGGTTGAAACCACTTGTACGCTGCTCGATGTCCATCCTGTTAATTTTTCGTTCGAATCGGGGAAGATTTTTGAAAAATTCCGTGTACCAGTGATTTTTCTAATATCGAAGAAAACGATTCTTTCATCCCCCTCGGGCTTCGAAGTCGAAACAGAATATAAATTCAAGTGACCGCGTAATTCTCGGTAAAACCCTCCATCAATTTTCCAATATCCTGTCCGTGAGAGTCTAATGGATTCCCTCCCATGCCACAAACTCATCGGTTTCCCTCGACCCTTGTAAACTCATTAATGTCTCCCTCCTTTCCTGATGGCTTGTATATATATATATACAACTTTTATATATATACAATTTTCTTTCTTACATCTGCACCTAATTTTCTCTTCTTTCCACACGCTTGTACACACTTTTCAACACTTTCTCTTGTCTGTCCGTCCGTCCGTCCGTCTGTCTGTCCGTTTGCGTGTGCGTCTGTCTGTTTGTCTGGCTGAGTGTGACGAGAGGAAACTAAAAATAAAAAAAGATTGGTGAACGAAAGGAAAAGAAAAAAGATAAAGAAACGATCAAAGGAAAAAAAAGAAAAAGATGAAAAAAGTAAGGAAAAGAAAAAGAAAACGAGAATTACTCGCCACGAGAGAGAATGGATGAAGTGTAATAAATAATGGAAAGTGGAACGTGAGAGTGGCGTACGGAGTTCTGGAAGATCTTACGAGATCTCTCAGAGGACGAGCGACAGGAACTAAAGAGAGTTACTTTTGTTTTCGCTCCGGCCTACATCAGGGAGTCTGGGGAGAATATCGAGTTTATGAAGGTGAGGAGCGGGATCCCAGAGATCTCGTAGACACGATATATCTAGGCTAGATTTTTCCGTGCGTATTTACATTCTGCTGTTTTCTCGGGTACACAGAGGCAGGAACAAAAGAGAAGCGACCTAGACGAACAGCTCAAGGAATACATCGCAGAATGGCGGAAGCAAAGAGCCAAAGAGGAGGAAGAACTAAAGAGATTGAAGGTTCGTATACGTATCTCAGGATCTCGTTTGTTATACTTCGTGTGCATAAAACTCCGTATCTTCCGTTGCGTTCCCATGGTTCTGTCTTTCATGGCCGTCTCGTTCCCTGTTGCTCTATTCGCAGGAGAAGCAAGCGAAGCGCAAGATCACTCGCGCGGACGAGGAGAAGAGATTGGCGCAGAAAAAGAAAGAGGAGGAAGAACGTCGCCAACGTGAAATCGGTAAGTGCACTTTATCCCCTTTTTCCTTATCCTGTCTCGATATTGTTCGTGGAAATCATTCGATTTCCCCTGCGGATGTTCGCTGATCTTCTTTCTAAACTTGCAGAGGAGAAGAAGCAACGTGATATGGAGGAAAAGAGAAAGTACGTTTGCATCTAGCCAATATTATATGTTAGACATAGCGAAGTAAGGAATAATTTGAAATAAAAGAACATCTTTTTATCCAGGCGTCTGGAAGAATCAGAAAAGAAGCGCCAGGCTATGATGCAAGCGATGAAAGATCAAGCAAGCAAGAAGGGACCCAACTTTACCATCACCAGGAAAGATCTAGCAGTTCGTATTCATTTCGTAGTGGAGCAAATGTAACGTGTCATGGAAGGTTGTAGCCACGTACAGTTCAGATGTTAACGTGCTTTTCCGTTGGACACAGGGTAACCTAACGTCGGCGCAACTGGAGCGCAACAAGACGAAAGAACAGCTTGAGGAAGAGAAGAAAATCTCGCTGAGCATTCGCATCAAACCCCTGGAAATCGATGGCCTGTCCATTGAGAAGCTCCGGTCCAAGGCTAACGAACTCTGGGATACCATAGTGAAGCTGGAAACTGAGAAGTATGATCTTGAAGAACGACAGAAACGCCAGGACTATGACGTGAGTAGACACGTTTAAATAGAAGGTACACTTTCTGTATACAATGTGATATATATAGTCTACTTCACTGATATACGTATCTCCATGTAGCTTAAAGAATTAAAGGAACGTCAGAAGCAGCAACTGAGGCACAAAGCTTTGAAGAAAGGTCTTGATCCTGAAGCCCTCACTGGCAAGTACCCTGTAAGTAGAACGGATAAATGAAACGGATAAAATAGTACGTGGAAAATTTCGCTTAAATATTATAAATCATTATCTTACGTAGCCCAAGATCCAAGTCGCCTCCAAATACGAACGTCGAGTGGATACCAGGTCTTATGACGATAAGAAGAAACTCTTCGAGGGTGTAAGTATATTTCCCATAGATTCGATCAGTCGCTGATTCTTCGAATACCCAGCTGCCCCAGATATTCGATTGAAAATCGGTCAGTAGTGATCCAAGAAACTACAAACAGGATAACGTAGAAAATTATATTATTATGGGCTCGAAAGTATAGAGAGAAAGTCTTCCTAAAGTGAGATTTCGAAAGAAAGAGTTTTTATTATACGTGATCGAAGACATATTAACATAAATTAGAACAGACAAAGAAGAAGCGACCTAGCTCGTTAAGAAATAGCCGTAGGAAAATGATATCATTGTTGAAAAAAGTGATGAGTGAAGAATGTCGATTGAATCGCAGGGCTATGACACGCTTTTAGCGGAGTACAACGAGAAACTGTGGAAACAGAAAACAGAACAGTTCATGAAGCGTACCAAAAGTGAGTCCTATCGAGCCCTCTGTTGATATACCACCCCCTTTGCTTGCGTTGTTGGTTGAACCCTTAGCCTCAGTTTGCCCTAGGATCGCCACGGCGATCATCTTATCTAATTCGTGTTGGACTCCACTTAATAAATAGTAGATCTAGATATCAGAGAGACCGTTGGAAGTGTTGTTATGGAAGTTTGTTATCGTGTTGTTCCGTTTCACAAAGTAAAGTACTCACAATCCCCTTTTTGACTGATCGTAATTCATCGCATCCCCCCTGTAATTTATCGTTGAATCTCGCATGATGAACACAACGGTCACGAACAATAAAATCTATCACGAATCTCAGGAGAAACTTGAGTCAGATCAACGTTGATACAAATTATCCGCAACTTCGTTTTAATCCCATAGACGTTCTGTGTACAGAGAAAGTTTCATTCCTAAGAATGGTATTCAACGTGCAAATACATTACTATACAAGTCGCACTATGGTACAGTAATATATACCCATAATCAATAGAGACAGTTTACACTGACACGTTTTCACCAAACGATTTCCACACCTTGACATTTCAAGAGTCCAGTTGAAAGTCAGAGTGAGTAAAAGGGTAGAAGAATTTGTTTTACGCAAGAGAATACCTAATTAACGTAAGTCAAAGAATGACCATCGTCCTTTCAGAACTGAAGGCGAAACTGGTTTAGCCAAAGAAGTCGACACATAAACACATACACGTAGAGAATTTCAGTAATACCCGTTAACCCGTTCTGCTACGTTCAAGCCCCAAGCCCGCTATGGACAGATTTGTATAGCGATATTTTGAAAACCGTGGAAATGGTCCCAGATGAGTGCCCCCCGTGTGACGATGATCCTAGCATGCCATTTTGTCCGTTAATGTTGCAGGGTCTGACCGAACAGCAGAAGGAGATCATAGAGAAGCAATGGACCCAACAGAAGGAGCAATTCCTCGGTCGCCAGAAGAGTACGTATGCTAGTTTCACCTTCGAGCAAACGTAACACGCCACCTACTGCGAATATACATTTTTCAACGAGTCACATTTGGTCTCCATCTACTAAAGACGTTACAAATTCAGAGAGCAAAGGGAATCGTGGGTCCGCATAGCTGCAGACCTACCTACGGTTACCTGTGTATCGTGGATCTGAAAAATCTGCATATAGATCGTTCAAACGCGCGAAGAATTTACCGTTACCGAGTTTATTGAAACAGTAAGACGAGAGGCCTGAAAGTATGCCAAACGTAAAAAGCGTTCCGTTGTTTCCCACGTGTTTATTATGTTACGTATCATCGTGTACGTTTGCTCGAGTCGCGGGTCTTGAAACCTGACCAGCCAGAGTATTTTCTGGAAACTAGGACAAACTACAAGGGCCAAACAGAGAAGTATATTTTGCCAACGTGGAAGAACCTTGTTCGATGAAAAGCGAAGAGGACCTTTCATAAAATCGAGTCTATACGTTTAATCCGTCGTTGATCTCTCGTAAAAGATTCAGTATTGTTCAAATCCAGAATGCTATTTGTACTGTTCCTCTAACTGCACTCTGTCATTCTCCTACATCGTTTCACGGACAAACGATTTCCATCTAATCTTCGCTGTTATCGTTCGAGATATTTTCCAAAAATTCTCCCTGCGAATAGAATATCGTTCATCGATTAACGTGTTTGGTTGTTCCCTTCTGAAAAATAGCGAAGTTACCGAAGTGGTTCGGCGAGAGGCCAGGCAAGAAACCGGGAGACCCCGAGTCCCCAGAGGGCGAAGAAGACGTGAAGGCTGCGGCTGAAGACGAAGAGCTAGAAGAGCCACAATTCGAAGAGGAAGAAGAAGAAGAGGAGGAGGAGGAGGAGGAGGAAGAAGAAGAGGGCGATAAGAAAGAAGGAGAGGGCGAAGGCGAAGAAGAGGAGGAGGAAGAGGAAGAGGAGGAAGAGGAGGAAGAAGAAGAGGAGGAAGAAGAGGAGGAGGAGGAAGAAGAATAGATAATTCTTCTAAAAGATCGGCACCTAACCATAAATTCAATCGATCATCGAGCAATGTCGAAACATCCTACGTACCATCGAATAATATAGTCGTGGCGGCAGTAGAGACAACAATGGCGAAACATTTTTCCAGAATCTCGTCGTTATAGGCGACTTTTTGCTTCGAGCCTTCATGCGACACCGGTGTAATCGCGGGGAGACAGTAAAGGAAGACATGTCTGCACCGTTATATTCTCCCGCGCAGAACTAACCTATAACGGCGGGAGTTCCGGCAAGATAAAGCACGCCGTTACTATTTCTCGGCTGTTCTACCACTACTACTTCTATTACTATTACTCTACTACTTCTATTGCTACTACAATTATTATTATTATATTGTACAAAATACACGCACACACATTATTAAAATAAAATGAACGGTTTATCATATAAGATTTCCGCGAGGAATCTTCCCTATCCCGGGAGAAGACCTTGATTTGTTACGAACACGAACTTGTAATCATGATTGTAAATTAAGAGGCCTATGGAAAAAACTGTTCCGAATCAAGACTTTAATAGTGTTTTTATTGTTCAACTCGACATTAACACGCTGGTTATTGCGCGGTTTTTACTTTCGCTGGAGGATTTTATTAACAATAAATTCTGAAATTACGAGAAAAATTGCACGAATAGTATGCAATCTATGTGAATGATGGAAGGAAAGGAATTTCACCTTTAAAGTTCTCAATCTATCGTGAGAGTCACAAAACTTTCGTCGGTGCCCTTGTATTTCACTAACTTAACCTTACCTGACTCGTTGCAGGAGAATACGAACGAAATTGTAATGGATTATTCATGAAAATTATCGCAGCAGCACTTTCTTCTCTTCCCGATTTTCTTTCGCTGTATTTCCTTCGCCTTCTCTTCAAGTATTCGTCTATTACAATTACAATACGTTTGAGGAATAATTAATCACATTCAGAGGTTATATATATACACTGGCAATGAATCACAATGCTTATAACGAGGATACACGCAGTACGACGTTTTACTAATTAAAAGAATACGAATATATTTTTAAAATATATGAATGTACCAGACGACAAAGTCAGAGCGAAGCGAAAATAAATTAATCGATTTACGATCCTTTCGTAAATACGTGGCGACCGTCATGATACTTCGGATTCGCGCCAAAATTTATAAACAGGTACGAAACGTGGAAGTGCTGCCAACAAACGCTCCTCCTTAAAATAAGCAATACGGAATCTGCGTGTAATGATAGCTGTCGTGCGAATTTCGGTACCTTAAAAAGTTGAATGTTCCAAAGAAATATAACGATATTTGAGAACTTAAACCGAGAGAAATAATTGTGCATGTAAATTGGAAATTGTTTCAGTTTAACCATGTGTTCATCTTATACGCTGATACTTTCATTGACGTAATTTCATCAAGATTTAAAAACATTTTGGAAATGGATTGTTTCGGACCTGTATTATAAGGTAATTTGTCCTCTTGTTTTATATTATTGTGAATACAAATGTTTTTGCTTTAATAAGTGAACCAATAAAACTAATAATTATAACAGTGTTCATGTTTTTACAAATGTTGTTGATAATATGGTTTGTATAAAAATGTATTTATTGATATATATATTCTTATTAATTATAATAGTAATTAATGAGTTTGTTAACTGAGTTGCATGTATATTATTATATATATATTATTCGCCTAACGAGTCTCATATTTATTTGTGCAATCACTAGGACTGCAAGCATTGGCGACCATTTGTCGAAAGGAAATCGTGCAAATTTACATGTTAGGACCGCATTTCGTTAAAATTCAAGACAGACTTCAGTGACGGAATAATGACGCAAAGCATGAAAGGTAGAGCAAACGAGAACGAAGCCGTTTTCCGTTTCTGTTCTTCTCACTCGCATATTTCCGTTGATATTTCCTATCTCTTTTCCTCGCCTTAATTCATCTCTTGCTAGCTAACTCAGTCGGTAGTGATGGAAGTAATACAAATTCGAATATCTTCATGCAGACCATAACTGCGCTGAAAAAATTGATGTTTCAAAACAATTATTATACATTCGCAATATTATTTATTTTTTATGTTTATTATTACTTTACAAATATCGTTGTCTTTTTTTTAAATCAAATTCGCGGCATCTACAGCTGTTCCACCTGGCGGACGGTTGAGTATTACTCCCATCGCTAGTCGCAACTATTTATAATGGTAGCCGCTGGCTCCAGTCTCGTATTTCTTCTCTCTTTCACGCTCATTCTTTCTCTGTTCTGACCGCCGTCCCTCTTTCTTTCTGTCTTTTCTTCTCTTTCAGTCTGCAGAGTGGTCGTTCTTAAGCTTCGTTAATAGTGTCTCCAAGCATTCGTCCGAACCAGACTGCGCTGTCCCTCCTCTCCTACCTGAGAGGACCGAAATAGAGCAACCGCAAGACGGACGCGACCGATGCGACCGACGCGGCAACCGTGTCGTGACCGAACAATAAACAATAACACGACGACGCGTGTCACGGGATAGCGACTACCGCGACCTGTTGCCGGCTGCCAAAAAGATCTCGCTGGATACCGCGTGTGTGTTGGTGAAAACGTGAAATGTTTGTTTCGAAGTGTCTCGTTGCAGAAACGTGGAATTGTGTGTCATGGCGGTGATCGTTGTACAGAATGGCCACGTTCGCGTACACATGGCTACAATGCTGGCTATCAAGGAGAGAAAGAAGGGGAAAATCAGGAGCTGACTACGAAGCGGCTTGGCCACGAGGAAACCACTCTCGATGAGGTAAGTATAGAATAACACAGTGTGTAGAATTTCTTTAACAAGACAAGTGACAGATATGTAACGTTCAATACAACTTTTACCTCCATGTGTTGCCTGCACCACGTTCGACGAGTGTTTGAAGATACGTTTCGTGAAGCCAGAAACTCTCGCCTCGTGCGAGAGCCGGAACTCGACGGAAATTGACGATTCCTGTCGAGGGACGACCGACGATGGCTTCGTGGTAGTTCGTGTTAATTCGCGATTTCCCGATAACAAGGGGAACACGCGATAAGAACGATTACGAAATCGGGCATAGCGAAACGTGAGAATAATTGGTAGCGTGGCGCGGATATTATAGGAGGATAAGGATAAACCCGAGACATTTTTACGGTTCTTCGTAATCGTGAAACTTTCACTCGAATGGTAAGAACACGAAAATGACGAAAGCAGTGACTTTTTATCATTCCTAAAGATTTAAAGCTATGTCAATACGATTGACATTTTACAAAAAATATTTCAAACAGGTTTAAAACCTGTTAAACTAGAAATGTGAAATAAAGTGAATTTTCCATTATGACCGTGACTTTATCTTTACATTCACTCTTCGAGTTTATAATGTCAGGCGAATGTGTGTACAGGAATAGCTACCTTGTGCGATATTATTTTATAATTTCTTTCCCCTTAATCAGTGTTGGTCAATGTTTGAGGTTATGTGTAAAGTCAAATCACTTTTTCTTTCGTGTTATATTATTATTAATAGTTGCTTCGATATTTATTTCGGTGTAGGTTAATAGGAAACTAAACAAATAGGTTACGTCGTTAGGTATATAATTTCTTATTTTTCGCTCTTTGATATTTAAGCGAAATTGTTTTAATAAGTCAATTATTCGTTCGTCCGTACTCTAGCGTACTTCGTTTTAAGAATCTTTCGGATTTTAATTTCTAATTAGAGATATAATTCTTCTTTAAATGAAGTTTAATACTTTACATACTATAAACAATATTAATACGTGTGATTGCTTTTATATGACTCGTGCGTTAACATTTGCCATTCTCAAAGAGGTTATGTGTAACAATAACAAGAAGGTCTCGTTTTTACTTCAAGCAATTATTACGACTGTAAAGAGCACGATTTATTATGAGTCTCATCCTTACTCATTATCCAGTAATTAGAAGCGTCATTAATTCTAGGAACGTCAGAGTAAACTGTTTCAAATTGAAGTTAATATAATATACAGTGATATTAATTATCAAGAAATGGTAAAGTATAGGTTATAATTTTATTTTCAATGAACATTCCGTTTTGTTTTTCTTATATTTTGAAACCCATAGAAATAATTTTAATTATACTTTTATACGTGATAGTAATTAAGTATTTCCAAAATTCTTGATATTTTTTCGCGAATTTAGCGTTGTTTCCTTTCCAAGCGTATTTACCCGTGCTATATTTTTTTTTTTTATTAGAAACGAAAGTATCTTTCTGTGAACTACGGTACATGAATTTGTATCAAAGCTTGTGTTATCCTGCCTTTCCAATTGAGGTTGAGATGGAAGCTTTTATCGCAGATTATTCTTTACGATGCTTTTATATTCTCAATTTTCGTATTCAGCCTCTTTATACTCCTCGTTCGTTCATATTGTACCATTCTTAGAATTTTTAATCTAGTAGAGAGCATAACGAGAGTTGATAGAGCTTCATAAACAAAATTTTACGGTTAACTTTACCTTTCCTTATATTATGAAACGCAATTTAGACAACATGAGATTTTTCTAGTCTTTTTTCGTTTTTTTAAAAAAATATAATATAGTAATTTAATATAACAGTCAATCAATTTTGCTATCATATATATTATATTACATTATATTATATATATAATTCAATGTAATAGAAAATTACTTCAGGTCTGAATTTTCGGACATCCAATATATCCGCGGAATAAAGTACAATACATAAAATCAAAAGATTAGTTCGATCGCGATATTAAAGATCAATTAAATTGGACTTAAAAATAGCCTATGAATAATGCAACTGTTGATGCGCTTCAATGGCATATGAAAGTATGTACGTAAGTACGTCGTGAAGCGAGGGATTAAACGTTCACAGTGCGTTGTACCATCACGCAATTGAAACAATTCGAGATTACCCACGATGGCCCATATAGGTTGCAGATTGTTACGTAATAATGCATAAGAGCCGTGAATACGTATTTCCTGTTATTGCGCGTTTGTGCGTTAACAAAGGACGGTTAGCGTCTGGAACGTGAGCGTTCTATTCGAATGGCGAGAGCACTTACACCGGTGTTTCAGAAACGCGAACAGATCTCTCGTAATCATATTCAAATGAAAGGACTTCTCATTATCGCAACAAATTATTAAGATCGTGGAAAAATTTATGAAAATATTTCTACTCGGAATCATCCATATTTGGTACGTGTCTATTAAAATGAAATCGAATTGAAAGCATTATAATTCGAATAAATAAATAACTTAATAAGCATCGGATTTGAAATAAATAAATAATTTAATACGGATAAATAATCTTCGAGGTATCGGTCATCGTATTAAATTCGAAATAATTTCGTTGAATATTGTCTTACAATTTTTACGAAAGAAATTATTTTCGAAAATAATGTACATCCAGTGAGTTTTGGAAATTATTATTACTTTGATGAAATATATGAATAATTTACAACTCGATGCATATGGGATTCGGCGGATCATCTTTTGCATAATATTCACTTATTAATGAGAAAATAATGCGAGAAATACGTGTACGTAGAAATTAATATCTCGTGTTCAAGTTTGTCCGATCCCATTATATTTTTCTGGTCTTCCGTTATAAACAAACCTGAGGATTTATTTATAAATAAATTTAATTCATTACTTATTTTCTTATTTAGGATATTATTAATTTAACTTATTCTTGTGCGATGAATAAGTAATTGAATGTTACTTAAGTATATAATAAAATTATTAGGCGTCCTTACGGATAGAATCTCGTCTCTTTGGCTTTATACATGCCTAAAGCGACATAAAATCGCCATATCACAGTGATAATATAGTAAGAATAATAAGGCTGACTTCCATTTAGAGGGGAGCCTTCGGACGAAGGTGTTCGAATCTTCAAACGTGTGACGTGATCATTCACACAGGTTTCCACACAAGTCGTTGTAATATATGTAAATTCTTGGCAAGCTCCATCGATTGGTTAGTCTTATTAGGCTGGAAACAATCGGTATTCTCAGAACTGAATTGAATGCACCTGAAATTACATTTGCTAGGATGAGTTTTATTCCTCGGTGTATATTAATTTATTAAACGATATAGTTATTATAAATTACTATTATTGCCACTGAAAAAATAATATTTAATGTTACAGTATCTAAAGAATTTACTAATTCCTCTAATTTTTTCTTTGTATTCAAGGTTATGATAGTTCTATCAAATTATGTAGAATTAATATAAAATTGACTGCATTCTCATTACCTGGCAAGGAACAACGAGAATCATGAACCGTCTCATTAGATTAGATTTCGCTAATCCCTTAGAACTCCTTGAAATCATCGTGACATGTACCAAGTCAACCAGTACTGTTCGAACTCTGTAAGCGTTCCTGGAACCTGTTCCAAGTTAGATCTGGTTTAGATCCTTCGAGAGCTCAGGTTAGGCGTGGATTAGATCTAGGTGGATCGATGCAACTTCAACTGAGTCAGCATGGTCTTGATTGATTTTACCCAACTTTTAACGAGTCTACGTTGTTCTAGCTGAGGTTAGCCGAGTTTAGGTCAGTAGAAATCTTACCAAGTAGGTGTTCCAGTTAACTCTACACAATTTGCAATGATTCCTCTAGTTAAGGGTGGTCAGTTCTGGATGGGTTAGTGACGTTCCGAATAAATTGGTGTATATCTGCTCTTAGATGATCCAAGTGGATGCGAGAAGTTCTCTTGTATATTTTTTGATATATAGTCTGTAAACCATCATAAATTTTAGGGTATTCGTTATCGTGTATGGAGTAATTAGAATTTAATAACTTGAGTTTAAGAACTTAATCTTGGCTTAACTTTCATATTAATTAGCATAAATAAAGTTAGAGTTACCCATCATGGTGTTTAGAATAATTAGGTATATCTAGGCTAAAGGACTTAATTGTTGCCTGAACTTAAAAATTAAAATTATTCCTGAAGGTTCTACAAATACTATAAATTTTAAGATACAGCATAAAATAATAATTTTAAGATTTTTAATATTTGGTCACCTTAAACTCATTGAAATTGATAACTTCTGGTGATTTATTCTCGTTCCTCTCTTTTTTTTATTATTTTTAAACAGACTGAAGTAAATTGGTGTAGTAAATCAAGTAAATTTGTTAGAATTAATAATTCCACATGAGCTATTTTTATTCTCCTTCTTTGACTATTCTCAAGCGGACTTGATGTATATTACAAGATTGTAAATTTGCTAAAATTGACAATTTTTCTCATTCTACCTCTCTCATTATTCCCATGTAGACTAATTCAAAATTAAAACTACAGCGTGGTCAGTTAATCCATAACAGATTAGTAACATATTCATGGTGTTTCCGTTTTGCAAACAGGCCTGCATAATTAAGCACATTTAATCATCGATTAGTTAAGCAAATGTGGTAATTATCGTAGAATGCAGAAATCTTCGATATTGCCCACATGTCTCTCGAAATAACAGTGTCGATACGAATCCTCTCGATACATCACTCCCCATCGTTTCCAAGCAATTAATCCATTCCCCGGTCAGAACTTTCCACGTAGTGCATCGTCTGATAAGATAAAATCCTCGTTCCTCTACTCGCAGCTCATAATGCCGCAATGTAATCGTGATAACGATACCAGCCTTTTACGCGCTTTTCGCACACGTGCCAACTTTCCGTGTAATCATTTAGAAATACACAAGTTTTACGGTTAACGCCGGACGGAAATGAAAGCGAGATTACGCAGCCGTTGCCGTGCTATTTCTGCAAAATTACCTTTCGCAACTGTGTCTGGTGGCCTCCTGTTATTGCGAATTTTTCGCATGTCACGCGTTCGACATTTTCTCTCCAACGTGGATGCGCTTAATATGCGAAGACTGCGCTTCAAGGGGATACCTAAAATGGTTTAAGTTATTCAACGTTTGAAAGTCAAGTAAATCTCGTTAGAATTTAAAACAATTTGGAACTGCGCCGCCACGACTTTCGCCTGAGAAGTTACATCGACTCAGAGTCGGGTGTACCTACCATAGTGCAGATCTTAATCTTGTGTCTATATCATAAATCCATAAAGTGTAACGTATATTGAAATGTCGACAGGTATCCCTTTTAACGCTCCCACGTGAGCAGGATTAAAATGTCAGTTCGTTTTAGTAGGAAGCCTATCCTTCTCGATCAAATCCTCTTCGTTTTTCCAATTTCTCCTTCTATCCCTGAATCAACGGTAATAAAGCTTTGAGCTTGCGAAGGATCGTTCATACCGCGAGCTTCAGTGCGAAACGTTTTCACCTTTTTTTTTTTTTTTCGAGACGGAAGTGTAACGCTGCCAATTAATTTGATAGATCTTCAGGTTCGTAAAGCTCCTTTATATTTCGAAATTGACGTCGATTGAAAAATGTTCGATATCGTTTCTAACCTACAAATTATGAAATAATATTAATTTAACGATAAAGCATTTTATATACAACGATTCTTCTTTTTTAGGTATTATAAAATATTATACAATATATTTTCATAATTTTGTATGATATTATATAATAACTTTCTTTGTGATATGATACTGTATCGCATAATAATTATTTTTATAATATTATACAATGCTATGATATATAATACCTTAATAATTAATTATTTAATTCTATCTAATTATTCGTTTAATTATATTTATATATTATTAAACATTGAATATGATCATTTAAATGGTATACTTACCAGTATCTATAAAATAAAAAATATCGATATTGTATCGAAATCATGTTTGCGAATAAATCGTCGGTTTCCTGGTTCTAACAGAAATCACAAATGGCCGCACGCCTAGTCCCCCCCTCCTCTAACCCGTTCCCGCGCTTTTCGCCAACGTTCCTTTTTCCGACGTTCCGTCGTCTCGCTGCGATTCCGTTCGCAACACGTCGCAGGCTGGAAAATACGGTGGTCTAGAATACCCTTAATGGAATTATGGCATTACACAAAATAGAATTGGGTGCTTGCGGGATTTCGGAAGCCGTAACAGTTAACGATGCCTTGGGCTACTTCGAGTGCGCCAGTTGAGTAAAATTTGACGGTGAGTCCGGGTTGGAGAGAGCATACACGTACGCGTTTATATTTTTCAACGTTCCTTCCATCGTCGTGGTCCACAGTCATTTCAAGTCAACGCGAACGGACGGATTGTTGTCAGCTGTAATATGTTCCCTTCCTCAGACGAGTAGCCTTTGCGTCGCTATTGCACAGCACAGGAGAAATTCTTAGTCGAATATGACGGACGAGGAGAACAAGGAAGAACCCGATCGCGAAGAGGATAAGGAAGGGTGAGAACAAACGTTTACTCTATGAGAAACAATCGCGAGTCGCTTCACTCGACAATTATTCGCGCGTGTTTAGCTGCACGACAATACCTTTCCCCTGCGACGAATTAGCCCTACACCTGGCGGCGACACTTGGAACTTCTTTAGCATCGTCGCTCGAGAATATTTTTCATTTTATCGCGCGCCGTTTCGAAATAAAGTTGCTCATAACGCGTCGGGTAACGCAACAAGTTTTCTTCTGTTCACTTCTCTTTTCGCAATGAATCCCGTTCTTCGTTACATTTTCTTTCTCTTTATATTTATATCGCTTTCTTTTTATATTTATAATTAGAAAATCAGTCATTATCGAATGCTAAGTTTTCAAATAATTATTCGAGTCGTTAATTAATCCTTTGCGGATGCGTATTATGGACAACAACCCAAGCGTTTTTACCGACCGTATCTGTAGATAATCGTCCGTACATTTTAACGGTTCTGGACGCTCTCTGTGCATTGATAGACTATAGACGCAACAGTTCGCTCCGACTATAGTGTAAATTTTCTTAGAAGCGATTTATCCCGGTTTCAAATTTCATAACAAACCTTGGTTCGTCCAGATTGTTCTCTGCGTGACCACAGTCCCCTCCGCAGAGGATTAAATTTCACCTGGCCAGTGTCTGAATCGAATGAGGGGCGGAGTTTCAGCGACATTCTATCTCTTCGCGCCTAAGCCATTATTTTATTTTAAACAATGCATACTTTGCATAGACTCGACGGTATTCGACCGATCCCATCGTACACTTCAGATTGTCCTCTCACTATCCCTTTCATTTACTCGCTTTTCTTTGAATCCTCTCATTTAACCTGTTACATTCTCTTAACGAACTTCTTCTTCGTTCCCAATGAAATTAAAACGTTACTCCTTCAAAAGCGTTTAAACGAACTTGAATACGGATGCTGCTTGGACGCTGCGCCGTTCAACATTATGTATTTTATAATTAAATTTCCCGCCGGTGAAGTTCGCTTTTTCGCTCGTTACGCGCTCCGTAAAGGGGCATTTGAAACAAAAAATAATTTTTAATGCGTTTTGTGGGAGGAATACGGAAGGGCGAGAAGCCTTGGAACAAACGAAGTTTTTTCTCGAAGAAGGAAGCTCTGTGTGGATAAAGTATTCTATAAAATCTGATGATTGAGATTATTTGATTAGTTACCGAATAACTTGGAGATACTTGAAGAAAAGAGAGGGAAGTTGGCAGACTTGTTCAGGGTATAAGATGATGATAAGTATAGGATTAAATTAGGAGTAAATAAATTAATTGTAATTTTCCAAATGTGATTTAAACAATTTTTTAAATCTTATGTATAATATTATCCGAGATATCAAATTTGGGTTGTAATATTTCATAGTCCAAATTATTTTTCGTACCATACTGTAAATATTAAAGATAGGGATGTTTAACTATTTTGAGCAATATAGGGTAATTTTAAAAAAGGTACTTATTAATGTACATAAAAATATTTCATTAACATAGGATATTTATTTAATTGTCTAAATATATCATGTAGATATATTTCAAATTCTTCTTGTTCCTTGCCCAAAGATAAATCAAACGTGTATTGAGGTTATATAATTGGATCCTATACTTTCCTTTAATATCGGAATATATACTCTAGTATACTGTATTTACTACATAAAATACTATAAATCACCAAATTATTCACCATTTGTTTTAAACTAAATTCCAAATACAAGCACCGCTACTTTAATATCCGAACAAATGAAATTCAAAACGAAATTCAAATTTCCTTTGAACTTCCCCAAAGAAAATTCTTGCAACTCCTCCAGTTCCTTTAACTATGATGGAAGAGATCGTTCGAAGATGAGGGTTAGGTTAGGTGATTCTTTGAGTCGTTCCATCGAGCATTTATGACAAGAGTTTCCGTGTCTCAATCGCCGATATGCGGTCGGCCATTTGCCTACGTTTGCTCTGCAGCAGTAGCGAATCCTTGAACGCGTCGAATCGAGCTGACACTGTAGAATGCAAACGAACGTGGTGGCGCTGAGGTGGCTGCGTAAAAATTTATTCGGTCGAATACGATTCGCTCGGAGTCACCTGTGCTCTTTGATCGTTCGAAATCCTTTATTCATGCATCGAAAAAAATACGTACTTGGTATTAATCATCACCTTTTCCTCTCTTTGAAGTTTAACCCGTGTTTCTTTGTCGCGATCAAATTCGTCACAGACGACCATCATCGAACAGTGTTCGAGAACGTGCTCGACAATTGCTCAACCGTTAACCCCGGAAGCCACGCGGTTCTCGTGTTTCCGTTTACATATATTTCCGTTTGCCTTGTACGAGTGTGTGAACGTAAAATTAACGGAATATTGGTATCGTTTCGTTGCAGAAATGACAGCGTGTAATGTGTATTTACGGCGCGAAGGTTTTTTGGTTATGTTGAATAATTATCCGACCGTGTCCTTCGGTGAATAAGACATGAATCGTGATTGTGAGAAATATAAATACTATTAATGAGAAGTAATAGTAAGAATCTAGAATGGATATTAATAGCAGACTGTTTAATTATTTAATTAGTCACAGTCGCGAGATACACGCTTGTTGTTTTCTCGTCGAGTCACAACGTTGAACACATGTTTTTAAAAGTGAGGTTAGCGGTAGTTGGAATATGTTAAATTCAAAAAAAAATTTTTTTTGGTGTTATTTAGTTATTATTTATTTATCTTTACGATACTATTCATTGTTATGATATTATATTGTATCGATCTGTAAGTTTTGGACTTCTTGGAGTTTTATTGGGTTTTCGAATTTTTTAAATTCTGTAATAGTTTATAATTATATCCTGTGTGTGAAAACTTCGTACGTGTGTTCATTAAGGAGATTTCGCGATACAGGTGTGACTACATTGATGGATCGTGGTTTCCGAAGCCACAGGGTTAGTAAACAGATTTAATAACGCATGTAGACTCGTGAATAACGTCGGCGAAAGAATCACGTATTAAGGCGCATGCATATTCATGCGTTCAACGAAATTAAGCGAATTTTTTTTTAGGCACCGCTGTTTAAAATGCTGATTTTATAGTTGAACCGTTGAATACGAATTGTTCGATTAAATTGGCGGTTTGTGTCAAAGTTTGAAGTCATTCGATTTGTCGTTAAAACATGCCTGTTCATCTTTTATCTTATTTATCTATGCAATTCGTAGCCATTTTTTATCCATTTCGTAACGCGTTCGTAAAACGATTTATTACTAGAATTAGCAAAGCAGTAAAATCGTGTGGCTTCACTGAAAACATACGACTGCATTTGGTAAAATTAAATAGTGATTTTTATTGAAATATAAAAATAATTATACATTTTTATTTTCATCGTGCATATATTATGATATATTGTTTACTATATTCGTACATACTACAGTATATTATTTTTATCTAGTATCAATACTGGAACTACTGATCTGTAATATGTAACTAGATATACTATAAATAAATCATAATTGAAGAGGTTCGATAAAAATAAATAGCAATGTATAATCGCGTTTCTATTTTAATAAAAGCCAATATTAATTTTGTCAACGATAGCTCCATATTTTTAATAGTTACAAAGAAGTTACTGCAAATAGTTACTAGAAACTAGTAATTTCGATTTCCTTAGTGGTCATAGTGTTAAATACGACGCGACTGATAATTAAATTGTTTGCGATTTAGGATAAACATGTTTATAAGAAAATACATCGGTTTCCTCTTTCGTAAGCAAATCAGGTTGAATTAAAAGCAGGATTAAAAGAGCGAGATGAATAACACGGTTGGAAAAATCTGATAAAAAAGCGAGACTAAAATTTA